TCATGACGTTTAGGCAACACGTACAACTACAAAACGAGTTCACAAAGTATCCATCAGCCAGTGCCAATTTAACATCTTGTGGAAAAAACCTACATAATGTCAAAAAAATCGGCATAATGTCACTTTTCAAGATACTTAATACCCAAGCCGGTCTCTCGTCAGAGATAATGTCCCTGCTAGTCTCCTTTTCTCCATGTCACCGGAGGACATCTTTTCTATACAGGAATCAAGTATGGACCACAAGCTTTGTTCACGTCGCCTTAGCCTTTGAGTCGGTTACAATCGTTCCATTTTAGCACGTAAGCGGTGAAAGGCTACTCTTTGACAAGTTCCTTCAATCTGCTCGGCTATTGTTTACATCGTGCTGGTCTTGGGCATTGCGAACCGTTTCGTTGCTAGTTGTTTCTGTGCTCGACATCGGATTTTCTCTTCTCTATAGTCGAGTTTTGTAGGAAGGTTCTGTGTGCCTTGATATTCTGCCGGTTAGTAGTGTCGCAGGATTCATTGTATGAGGGACGAGCTTTTACATGCCAACATGGATGATTTCAGTTATTGACGAACAGGCAGCCGTCGCATCCGAGTCAGCGAAATAAACATCTCTCCAAGGAAAGGGCGAGAAAAAGTCTAAGTGTCCTTCCCAGTCAGCATGTCCGTAATGCCAAATCTTGCAGTATGAACGATTTTCTATTACTACAGCCGATTCTGAGCGAAACCAGCTGACTACTGGCGTGTGACGAACACGGGGGAAAAGTAGAGCTCGTTAGCAACGGGGTCGGTCATTGAGTAATAGCAAATGCTTCAACAGCACGAACTGCTGCATCGGTCTTATTTGAGCCCAATCAGAGTTCATTATGAGCATTTAAATCACCTAGGAGAACTACCTCTGAAGCAGTCTGACTGATATTCAAAAAGTCGACCTTGACAACGAGGTATTCAAGTAGGTCATCCCAGTTATGGTCCGAATGAGAGTGATAGAGGCAGTAAATACATTTGGTGGATGGTTTGGAGTTGAGACGAAGCCACAGAGTGTCCTTTGGGATCCAAAGAAACGTCTCTGGAAAGACCGCTATGGACAGAAACGCAAATCCCGATTTTGGTCTCCCGCAAGAAAATCATGTTGTCGCGACGATTAGATTGCAGATAGTGGTGAACAACAACAATGTAGCTGCTAATTTCCCAGATGTCCGTGAAGTAGATTTTATCATCGATCTTGTTCGTTCGAGTCACCCTCCACAAGGACATTCCGAGAGAGGAGTGAGTTTACGTCCAGAATTCTTAGTACTCGAGGTATTCATCAACATTTTTTGTTGAGAATGGAAAGGGGAAAAGAAGAAAACCGACGGCATTCTTTTTGGTTGTGAACGATGTTGAATTGACCTAGAGTGGCCCGTTGACGGACTTGCACCACCACCCGGCAATCCGTCCTGCGGCTTTAACACGTGTACAATCAATTGAACGGGAAGAAGTTGTATATTGGGTGCAACAACTTCCGGTACAAGCATTTGCCACGGCCTCACTCAGTAGGGGATGCAAAGTTATGAAACCAACAAGTATATCTAAGACTGATTGCTCCGCAATGTTTGATAAAAATATTCGTGTGGCTATACATAGTTTGGTACTCCTTTAATTTTGACTGAGGTCCTAAAAGACGTCCTAAGGATGTCCATCAGATCAAATGGGGTGATACAGGATGTCCTTAGGATGTCCAGATCCTGATTAAGAGTATCCGTGTACTTTTCAACTTCCATTGATGTTTCTTTTCTTATAAGCTTCTTGAAATTTGTTTTTGTGACTACTTGAAAATCAAGCATTTCATAATATTTTGATCAAAGCACACTTTCGACTTCGTAGGTATTGAATTGTGTACTTTCTGTTTTTTGTCCAAAGATAAGAATATTTTACCAGTAAAAGAACAGAATATTATGAGGAAAAAATATCAGAAAGTGGTATTTAATGTGTATGAGCGAGATACGGACAGAAACTGGTATGTTAGAGGGAGAAGGCGAATGAAGGATGCTCGACTGCAAGGATGAGGATATTGTATTTTTCAAGAATATCCATTACTGTAGAATAACAGCTGATTATCTAGTAATATTTCAAAGTTCCCCATATTGACAAATAACGCATAATACTGATGGATCCGACAACCCCAGGTAGACAGAACGTATTTTGTTTTGTTTTTTGTGCGCTACAGATTCATTTTGTACTTGCTTACAACTCTTTTATTTAGAAAAGTCCGTTTGCATACAAAAAATAAAAACGCTTCAAGCAGGTTTTACTATAAATTTACACATCATTCATTATTGCCTATGTTACAGACTAATACAAATATGTCACTTACTGATCAGCTGTTTACCTCAGTATACGTCAAAGTATGATGGATACTCGTGAAATAGGGTTTATGCAGGCTTCATTCGCAATCTCGCTGTAACATACGAGATGATTCTCTCTCTATCTCGCTCGTTCACATTAAATACGGGACCTCAGTGATTCCCTGCCTGTCCTACATTATCTTCCATAATTATAAGCTTGAGTGGAAATGTTATGTAAATGTATTAAATAAGGATAACATTGCGTATTTCCTAGGTAATTTTATTTTACGAGGAAATTAAAAAATTGTGATATTTTATACCAATCGATTTTCTACTTAATTAATTATTTTGAAGTAATTTTTATAGAATTCGAATATTGCTAAAACTTATCAATTCTCCCTACGGTGTACGGTGTTTCGCTTCCCTAGGAACCATCACTGGCTTTAATTTTAAATATGGCCCTAACTTGATTTCAACCATATAATGGCTATAATTGTTTTTGAATTATTTTGCTCATAATCTTAAGTGTATATAAGTGTTATGAGGAATCCAAATTCGTCAGAATTGCATTTTTTGAATAACAAGAGACAATAGTAGGTAATCAATATAGCTTATTTCTGTGAAACTCCACCACAAAATATGTTGAACACCATGTAATATTTTTTCTTATACACTTGAGACATTCATTCGATGGTTCATAGCAATACATTTCTTTTTTTTTGTTCATAAAATATATTTTTTCATTTGAAAACGTTTTATTTCTAGACAACTGATCTGAAGAAATTAAAAAAATCCTTTAAGAGTCAACGGTAGCTCTCAAATTTGAACCATTGTGGCAACTACACACTGTCGCTGAATTCAAATGTACGAGGGCCATTTTTAAAGTAAGAATCGATTGCACATCGTGCCTGCGCATCCTTTCACATGACGCCCGTTCAATCTCAGATACTCTTATACCCGAAGGGAATTTATTCAGATGGATTTCTTCAAGGTCATCCTAATTATGTTTTGCGGTGTTTACATCAATGGACAAATTAATGGATTACTCGTATCTGTCAGTGCCGTCAATCAATCAACAACAAATTCTTGCTAGAAACATTTGAGCTTCTACGCCTATAGTGGTTTTGATTTTGTGGCGAATCTCATAAACAGACACCATATTTGTTGACACTGTAGTTCCATTAATAGAAATTCGTTCAATCAACTGGAAAGGAAAACTGTTGAAATTCATCGGCACCAAATAAATTGAACGCGCTATTCAAAACCGCCGGCGTTGTGGGCACTGCTCTCTAGCGGTCTCGTTCTTCTGCTTTTACCTTCGACCTCACGTTCCGGCAAAAACACAGACGCAACTGGACAAATTTCTTTGCGAATTACTGGTTCATCCACCATACAGCTCTGACTTAGCACCATCAAACCAAGGGCTGACTTAGGAATCCGTCTAATAGAGGGCGCAGCGGTGGTCACACCATTCGTGTTCATGTTCAAGGGATGGGGGGAAGGAGGTGGGGGCGCACGTCTCACGATTCAGTTCTAGCAGGTAATTTTTACAGCAAATAGCAAATATGTAAAAAAAAAAATATAATAACTTGAGCAAAAGGCTTACGCCCTAGCATCAGACCATCACTTCTTCCAAGACTTAAATAATTTCTTGGTAGAAAAAGCTTGGAACATGATATTGAAAGAAACAGTTACAGTTTAACGGTCAGGTGGCAGCGTTCTCTGATGTTTTAGTTTCTCCCACTCTTACTACAAATCGGCAGAGCTATGATGTAAACAACCTAAAAACATAAAAAACAACAAAATGTCGTCTTGCAGACTAGGTAGTTTTTAGTATGCAAATAGTTCATTCCACGATTGCTGGCTATGATCGCTGTTCGCTGACGTTTAAGCAGCACGTACAGCTATAAAACGAGCTCACAAGTGTACAACAGCTTGTGCTAAGTTAACATCTTTTAGAAAAACTTACGTTATGTCACAAAAAACCTACGAAATGTCAAAAAACCGACAAAATGTTACTTTTCAAGATACTTAATACTCGTACGAGTTCTTACTTAAAAATTGACCCTCGTATGTATATCGACAATGGATCCCGTAGGAAAAAGGGCGTGGTATAGTATTTGTTCACAACACCTCTTTTTCCAATCAATCACCAATGGAATAACGTCTGCTTACCGCACCATCTATGGAGTACCAATCATACTTGTTACTAGTGTAGAAAAAACGTGACAGTAAGCTATATCAGTCAAGCTATTCATTGAAATAGCTTGCGTAAAATTTTCATAGATGTCACCCTGGTGCTAAGGTGCTTTTCAAATCCGGTTTAAATATTAAATTCTATTTATTATATGGCATTGCATTTAATTAAAAGATTTATGATTATGAATTTATAGTCAATTATCCGCTGTGTCGTAATTGGATAGGTAACACAAGCAGCGATACCGAGGAATTAAGAATGTTGATAATTTTCTGTACCTTTTGTGATTTCTTGAAGGAGTGCCTTGTTGTGCATATTGCAACTCCCCACTATTGTACCTACCTATTTTTTTTAACTCTGATAATGGGTACACATGCTATAAATGTATTCAAACTGGGACACATATAGCGTCTAACATTCTTGTCATTTTTAGGTTGGAGAAATCTTGAACGCGTTGGAATCGAGTAGGAATCCATTGAATGCACGATGCATTTTCCCTCCTTTTCCTGTGCGCTATTTTTAAATTGTATGCAATGTTGCCATACTTTGAGCTGGATCACAATCTGTTAAGATTTCTGTAATTTATTATGATTTTTAGCACAATTGCTATCCAAGAATTATTCATCATTCAAATAACCTGAAAACTATAGCATGGTGCTATAATGTGTAATAAAAAAGCAACTGATCTTTGTCTGCGACCTTGAAACACGTTTTTATTGATAGTGATACTGATGATGCCTAGTTTACTTTTAGTAATAAATTCACTTTAAGTTCTAGTTTCGTCGTATCACTCGGGCTTCTTTGCAGTAGTGTTTTGCACCCTGCATCGAAACAGTTAAAGAACTAAAAACAGATGTATACGTTTTACGGTAGGGAATGCGAAGAGACCAACGACCTTGAGATATGAGTTCAGTGCATTCAGTGAAAATACCGACGTCTGCGTTTCTGATTTGAGTGAACACAGAAAACATCAAATTTTCAGTGTTTGAAATACAACTTGTGGAGTTCTTTTAGTACAATCAACATAAGATCCAAACAAATATCAGCATGTTGTAGTGACAAGAAAAACTGGTAAGGAAAGGAACTCAAAAAAATTGAACGTTTTCTGAATTTCCGGTATTCCCATGTTTTCAATCCACACGTACGACCAAGTGCGTTGTATTTCTTGATCTTGATACGTCAGTATACTTTTATAATTAGCTACGCTTTATTGGAGAAAGATAAACGCTTTCATTAGGAAATATCTCCAGAATAGTCTCAACCACAGCAACTATTGTATCAGCAAGTACGTAATTCTAACCTAAAATGAAATTTTCAGTGCTTACTCCTAAATTTGGGGTCGGGCCCCACACATCGAGTTCATTGGCAGAGAACGTAAAACAAAAGTACGCAAGAATGGAATCGGCGTTTTTGAAGTCTCTGGAGCCTAACATCAATAATGTGCCCAGCCCTAGGGAGTCCCAAAGGGCCAAAGACCTAAACGAAGGTCTGAAATCACTCAACCTCATTGATGATATTGAAGAGACTGGTGATAAGAGTGTGTTGCTACTAGATGACAATGAAAGACTTTTGATTAACTCTGAACAAGGGTTTCTAAAGGCTTTGAACATCAATCCAACTGACAAACTGAAAGTGGTGTCTATTTTTGGGAACACAGGTGAAGGGAAATCATATACTATGAATCATTTATTTTTCAATGGGGAAGAAGTATTTAGGACTTCATCATCACAGACTTCATGCACACTAGGAGTTTGGGCCAAATATAATCCACAGATGAAGGTGATATGTTTGGATACAGAAGGCTTATTAGGTAAATAGATACTTTTTGAACAAATACATTTATACTGAGATCTGTATATTTAGAATTACTGTGAGATTATCAAGTTATTCTTTATTTAACAGTTAGTTTATTTGTGATAGTCTTGGTAGAATATATAGTAAAAGATAAAGTAATTCCACTTGTTCAAAGGACAATACTTCCAGTGTGATAACATGGCATTTAAGGCTAAGTATATTTATTAAGTATGCTAAACAAAAACAAACAATTATCTGAGGAATGAATCACCAAGATAATTGATGGGATCCAAGTGCCTTTGAAATGGTTATACTTATTAATTGAGCTTTAACTACACATTCAATACTCATTGAGTGAACAAATACTGTATGAAAAGTGCTAATTTTCAGTTCCTGGTAATCTAATAACAATGGAGAAAGTAGTTAGTTAGTCTTTTTCATGAGTATGCATTACAGTATAATAACAGCTGATTATCTAGTAATATTTCAAATTTCCCCATATGGCCAAAGGACACATAATTCTGATGAATCTGTCAGTGCCAGGTAGACAGAGCCATATTTTGTTTTGGTTTTATTGTATGCTACAGAATCATTTTTTACTTGCTAAAGCAACAACAAACAGCTACAAACAAGTTTTACCAGATTTACACCTGAGTCATTATTGCCAACGTTGCAGACTAACACAGAAATGTCACTTGCTGATCAGGGCTAGGTTCGTAAATTATTACAGAGTGTACCTTGTACTACTCTGTAACAATTCCAGCTTTCGTAATTATTTGATGTACGTGTTCCATGTGTTTGGAAATAGAACAAAGTAAACCTTCTGGAACGTCAGAAGTGCACTTTTCTTCCCGTGCTTAAAACCTTGAGAATAAGACGGTTGGCTCTTGCATTCTTATGTTCATTGTTTGTTTACTTCATCTGTTTATCAAAAAGTACTCAGAATTGGGAGAATATATATTTTTCACAATAAATGGTTTATCTTTAAAAATGAACTTACACAGTATTCCAGAGTATAATTTCATCTGTCAATCTACATTCCATTACTATGTACATTATTACATTACCAAGTGATTTCTGTTCACCTCAGTAGATGTCAAAGCATGATAGATAGTTGTGAAATAGAGTATATGTGATGCTAATGTTGTAACAAAAAACACTCAACTTTGACCTTGAGCCTTTTTTCCTAATTTTGGATTATTGCCATTTTTAGCTAATGTACATGTATATATATATACATATATATACATATATATATATATATATATATATACATATATATATTCACTGGGTGTGCTGAAATTGAAGGATAATTCTGTAGCTGGAAATAGATCACATGTTTGGTTAAAGTCACATGGAAAACCACATAATAAATTTCAGGTATAGAAGTAACGGCTAGGATTGACTTTGTGATATTAATTTCAATAGATCAGATATTTAGAGTTACCACCATTAGCCATTACACATGCGACCCACGAAAACTTGCAAAGGTGGTATTCTCACAAACTAAAAAGATCATTTATTAAAAGGTGTGAGGCATGTATAATGGCCAATGGTGGCCACTTTGAACACGTCATTTAGAAAATTGAATAAAAACTTGGATAAAGTTAATAACATTCTTTTTTATAGCATTACACTTTGTAGGGATACAGTTGTGATAACCTAAATTGTTAGCTTGAATTTAAATCCTTTTCTTAGTATGAGTTTACAATTCGAATTTGTTTCATATATGATCAACCTAGTTGTTTGGTTAATCTAATATGCTGTCAGTTGTAACTTCAAAGCCTTATCATGCTAGCTTTTTTCAGATTAATTTTTTTAGTGGTTTGTTCACAAACAGTTGTAATATTGGAAAAATGTCCTCATATTTCCTGATTGATTCACAGGTTGCCCCGCTAATCCTATCGAGGTTGAAAATGCTGCCTTAGGTATACCTTACTCCACTTTATTTATACAGACATACCTTTGATTCTTCCTTCCTACCGCTAAATCCACCAGTTTAGCTTAGTGTTATATGGTGTCCCAACTTGCTTTAATATTTTACAGCCGTTTTATGCGATAATTTATCAGCAGAGACATTTTATGAAAATCTTACTCTATGTGCTTTTTTCATACTTGATCACCATGAAGGACTGAGGCCTAAACGCTCATGGGTACCGTGGGGCTATGGGGGATACAGAGGAAATGGGGGGATGCCACACGGACTCTAGCGAGGGAACACGTGTGTATACAACATGCACACGTTTTGGCCCGCCTTAGAGATCCGCCGGGTGGTACCTTACCGTACGATAGTCAAAGACCGTCTACCACCTCTCAGTGCTGCTGTAGATATTGGGATAAAGGAAATGCCTGCCAAGTATGGGTGGGAGCTGTATCACTATCCAACCAAATAGCATCTGCAATATATTTTTGCTTCTAGAAGTGTGTGTAACTTTTATTCTTCTATTTGATTAACTTTTTTGTATATGGGAAAAGTCTATTGAAATTGATAACATTGTTGAGCATTCAACAGGCTATTGGAGTTTTGCAATAATCTGTCGATTGCACAAGTTGTAGCTGCATATATTTTTTAGTATTGATTTTCCTCCAATCCAAGATTATGAATCTCAGCTTTTTATGTACTTGCTGCAGCTTCTGTTGGTCCCTTCCATCTTGGCTTTACCACATATTTAGTAACCATATTACTGATTACGATGGGTGCCAGCGGATTTTTTTCCAAGAAATGGGTGGTGGTGCTACTGAAGAAATCTACCTTCACATATTATATGTATGATACATTACTAACTAAACTTACCCTTGATGATTTTTGGAGGAAAACAGCCCCAGAATACACCACTCACGTTATTTATAGCGTGCCCTACTGTTTCAGAATTAATGTTTGAATGTGTCTCAGTGACAGGGATGGAAATCTTACAGAACAAAACATACCTGTTTTTACACCAATGCCGTCTATCCTATTTGCCACCACTCCATCTATTGTACTAATTGAACTTGTACCCTGGGCTATCAAAACCACTGTCTCGAAGAGAATGTTACACAAATAGTATTTACTGTATTCCATCAATATTATCCTTTGAATGTGATATTTATTGACCACATATCCTGCATGTCAGTAATTATTGAGCATAAGGTGTCACGTGCCAAAATCACGTAACTTTTTTTTACTATCTTGATCACTTACTAGTAATTTGAATTTTTCTTTATTAATGGTAGAGTGCCCATTCCTAGGCCCAAACACTTTTCAATGATTTTATTTTGGTAAATTTCATAGTTTATTGATTGTATAATTTCACATGTATTATATCTTTCTTTGTCAGTGATTCTGTATTGTGTTTAAAAAAAAACTCCGTTACTTGGTTTCCTGTTGAACTTCAAAGCCACTCATTGAACCTCCCTTTATACGAGTTAGTTGTTCCGTGTCAGTCACTTTCCTCCTGAGATTGTGGTGTGAGCGCCATTTACTCGATGTTCAGATTCTAGGAACCGAACACCAGTTTGTGGTGTAGTACCCCTTCATATAGTACCTTACATTTAGTTGTTTTGGTTTGGGTGCTACCCCTTCCATTTTCTTATGGGATTTTAATCTTCAGCGGTAAGTCTTTTTTTTCTTATACCATCGGGCCACGTGCATTAATACATGTCCTGAAGAAGTTTGTTCAATATCTGCTTCCTTTTAGTGGGAGGCATTGCGGAAAACCCCACCATACACTCCTCCAGCTTTGCTTGTAGTTGTAGCTGTTTTGCAGCTGGTATTACCGGAACCTACCCCTTCCCCTTAGCAAAAAGAAACCTGATGTTAGCAGGTAAAATATCATTTTAATTAACTATTTTATAGATATTATTTGTATATCGCTTATTGCTGTCTGAAATTCTTAGAGTGTGCTTGATTTTCTTTGGCATTTTACGTGTTTAAATATGGGGCAGTGCCTACATGGCACCTTCTATTGGGCATTACATCATGTTGATCATGATTTTGATTTTTGAGCTGCCATAACTTTATTTCAGAACAAGAAATAGACTTCTGAGGGTATATCACTTTAGTACATTTTTATATTTTTTTCTTTGCTATACTTTTCTTGCAATGAGTAGTTTTGTCTCAGACAGAGAGTAGAGAGTAGATTTTTTTAACAGTCTTTCTTTCTCTCTAGGGTTTTTATGGTCATATTGTAAATTTTGGAGACCGAGGCAAGCAACCTTGTGACGTGCCCACTATTGGCTTTTTTTTCTTCTCGACCTGAGCCCTTGTGAGCTAGATCTCGGCTGCGCCTAGCCGTAACTAGGAGAACCCAGATAAGTTTAATTTAGGGGCAAAAATAACTGCAAACCGTGTACCATGGTAAACGTCTCGGTCAAATAATTTTATTGTGCGATAGTTTTTTTTTGTAACATCCCGACTTTTCAACTCACACTCCAGTAGCGGAGCATTAATTTGTGCTGTTTACTGAGGCAATATATTGTGATTTTTTTTAATATCTTGTTTTATTTGGCTCTCTGTGTACTGTTAATTAGTTTGTGTCATTAATATTGGATTCTTTTCTTTTGTGTGGGTGGTCAAGCAAAACAAGTTCCGACTAAAATCGCGGGGATTTGTGGCTTAGTCTGTCATAAGTCACTGGCGCTCTTAAGTCACCCCCCCCTACACTCGACTTTATTGAGCTAGTGCTTAAATTTGCCCGCCACTTGACAGCTGTTATGACCCACCATTTGATTTTATTTGTCATATTTTATTAATTCAATAATTTAAACCAAAACATGAAAAGAGGAAAAGGTGGTGTAATTCCTCTTTTCCCTTTTTTTGTTTAAATTAATTGATAAATTAATAAAATACGACAAAGAAAATCAAACGGTGGTTCAATGCAAAACATCTGTCAAGTGGCGTGCAAATTTAAGCCCTAGCTCAATGAAGCTGTGAGTAGGGGGGGGGGTTCAGTGACTTATGAAATACTGAGCCACAGATTCCCGAAATGTTAGTCGGAACTTGTTTTGCTTGACCACCCACACAAAAGAAAAGAATCCAACAGTAATGATGCAACCTAATTAACAGTACACAGAAAGCCAAATAAAACAAGATATTAAAAAAAACACAATATATTGCCTCAGCACAAATTAATGCTCCGCTACTGGAGTGCGAGTTGGAAAGAAATGATATTACAAAAAAAACTATCGCACAATAAAATTATTTGAACGAGACGTTTACCATGGTACACGCTTTACAGTTATTTTTGCACCCAAACTTAACTTATCTGTTTCCTAGTTACGGCTAGGCACAGCCGAGATGTAGCTCACAAGTGCTCAGGTCAAGAAGAAAAAAAAGCCACTAGTGGGCACGTCACAAGGTTGCTTGCCTCCATCTCCATAATTTACGGTATGACCATAAAAAAACCTAGAGAGAGAAAGACTGTTAAAAAAATCTACTCTCTACTTTCTGCCAACGCCGAGCAAACGAATCCAAGCACATATAACGTTGGCGTTTGTTGTTGGAAGGTATTCGAGTGCGCTCGTCTACACGTCGTCTACACCTAAATTTAGTTTCGAGTTGGACCGCATTGGGTTAAGTTCGGTGCTACAGACAAACTACTAAATACTAGAAGCGCAACAAATCCTCTTCAAACCAAATCAAACCTCCCTTTGATGTACCGATCAAGGAGCGAATGCAATGGAACGTCAACGCCGACGTTGGAAACCGTTGGCTTAGTGTACGTTTAAATCGGAGGCGCTTAGCTTGGAGCTGTGCGCATTACTTTACAGCCCAGGGGAAAGCTAGAAAAACGAGAACACAGCTTTAAATGAATGTATTCAGACCGCGCGCATGGCGCTAAGCACTGTGCATTACTTTATACTATGCGGAGCGATGGAAAACGCGATGTGTTGATTTTGCGTTGTGTTTTACCTCACTTGTTCAGAGAACTCCGAAGGTTATCTGCATATATAATGGAAGAAAAAATTATGACCGCCGTTTTTAAACGAGAGGCAATATGGAATCCGCAGCATTCGTTGCATAAAAATGTATACGCGTTACAAAATCTCGATAGAGGTGATAGAATTCTCCGAACGATTTCCTACATATATTAATCTCATGCACCCACGATCGTGTTAAACATTTTTTTCTATTCACTTTAAACGCAATACATTCGAGTAGTAATATTTTCTTAACTCGTAAAGGAGCCATTGTGAACTGCTCGGAAAGTGCGTCTATAAATATGTGTGTTTTGATAGCAGCCGAGGTCTAAAAAGCGAAGCGCCTCCGATATGAACGAACACGAATGCATAGAGGTTCGCTTGACATAAGTGGGGCGAACAGCTCCAAGCGAAGCGCATTCGATGTCAACGTGCACTTACGTTGGCTCGCGCCGTACACACCTATTCGAACACATCCAAATCTGTAAACACATGTGCCTTTGTTGTCATTGCAAGAAAAGTATAGCAAAGGTAAAAAAAATATAAAAATGTACTAAAGTGATATACCATCAGAAATCTATCTCTTGTTCTAAAATAAAGTTATGGCAGCTCAAAAATCAAAATCATGATCAACGTAATGTGATGCCCAATAGAAGGTGCCATGTAGTCACTGCCTCATATTTAAACACGTAAAATGCCAAACAAAATCAAGTAGACTCTAACAATTTCAGACAGCAATAATCAATTTATAAATAATATCTATAAAATAGTTGATTAAAATGATATTTTACCTGTTCACATCAGGGTTTTTTTGCTAAGGGGAAGGGGTGGCTTCCCGGCAATACCAGCTACAAGCAAAGCTGGAGGAGTATGGTGATTCTCCGCAATGCCTCTCACTAAAAGGAAGCAGATATTTAACAAACTCCTTCAGGACATGCATTGATGCACGTGGTCCGATGATATAAGAAAGAAAAGGACTTACGGCTGAAGATTAAAATGGAAGGGGTAGCACCCAAACCAAAACAACTAAACGTAAGGTATTGTATGAAGGAACGTTCAATGGACACTCTACCAATAATAAAGAGAAATTCAAATTACTAGTAAGTTATGAAAATAGTAAAACAAAAGGTTACGTGATTTTGGCACGTGACAAAGGTTCTGTAGAAATCCTCTGACACTGATCAGTAAATTCGCGTAAAAAGCTATGTACAGATATGTAACAACACCGCGAACCGAACCACGCGACGAACCGAACCAAGCGACGAACCTCAGCGCGCGCATTTTGACGAACAACATTGCAACGAGCATCACCGCAAACCGAACCACGTCGTGCAACCACATCGCGCAAAAAAATGACGATCCAATTTTGATGTTTGTCGTTCAGTGAAACACATCATTTTTTTTAATTTATTGTAATTCAGAGTATGTTTTGCATCCCACAACAATTCCCCTGCTCTGTAATGCTCTATAAGCAAAAGAGTTTTCTCCTCCGACCATTCCTTCTTTTCTTCACGGGCTCTATCCATTTACTGATATGAGCGCGTGCTCGCCGCACCGATATCCCTGTCCAAACATGTGCAACTTCGTCGCGAGCCTTTCCTTTGATGTTACGCTGAAAAACCGACAGAGTCTGGATCGGGCCGAACGGCGAGCTGTAACGCTTATCAGGTTCGCGACGGCGTTTTTTTCACCGTCTACACTAGCGCGGCGCGGTTCGTCACGTGGTTCGGTTCGCGGTGTTGTTACATATCTGTACATAGCTTTAAGACTGGCTCTGCCTCTCACCTTTACCTCGTTACCTGTAAATCATTTCCATCAAGATATATTTTTGCCCAATTCATCACGCCTATTTTTGTTTTAGATTATTAATTATATGCTGTAGACTCAATTTTATATATCAAAAAAGTTTAATATACTTGATTATATATTGTTGTTACAACTATAACTTTTCCAAGCATTCATTTACGATTATTTCACAATTATAAAAACAAGTTGTTCCAAAATAATTGTGAGCAATAAATTCCCTGAATAGATTTCTTACAGAGATAGAACCCCCTTAAAGCTAATTATTGGAAAATAGTGGATCTCTCAGGCGAATGTCACACAATCAGTATTTACTGTGGTCCATCAGTGTTAGGATTTCTACATAAGCATATAATCAATAATTGGTGACACCGAGGCTACATGGTCAATAAATATCACATTACATGTGACATTCGCCATATGATTATTTTTAAACATACTTTTCTGTTAGGGCTTAAATCGAAGATTCATTTTCCAACACTCCAACAGTGTGCTTAAGAGCTTGTACTTAGCAACGACGCTGTGCAGGATTCTGTTATTATTTGTATTCTACGCGCATTTGGAAATCCGACCTCATATTCTGAGACACTATATACCAGGTGTTTCAAATTCGACTCACAACATTGGGATCTCGGAAATGGTAAGAGATACGAAGTCGTTTAAATGGAAATTCAAAAAGTTTCGCAATTCCTAGTATTTCCGGAGATAGATGAAGGTATTTTCCCAATATGGAATTTATTTTTTCCTGACTTGATTTGAAATGGGATTCCAAAATAAAAAGTACATTAACATTTCCACTTTTTCTCCTCTACAAGATGGCGTAACTAGAATTTCAATATGACATTTCGTTTCTTGTACTCAATCGTCAATTTTATTTTTTCTTATAGGCTCTATATTGGATTTTTACACAAGTAAATAGAGTTTTTAATGCTGATTTTAAAAAGGTAATATGTCATTAATTGATTTTGTCAAACTTAAGATGTTTAAAAAAGCTCCTCATAGTTGGCTTTGAAAATGAAAGTATGTCACATGTTTATCCGATTAAATCACCAGTGCTTCAAAGTTTGTAAAACAAGTTTAAAGAGCATTGAGATAATTTGCCGATTTAAGGAATATAACAATCGTTATATCAGCATTATGGAGACGCTCTACATGATACCTGAGTCTTAGATTAATTGTATTCGAATTGCAAGATGTGTGGATCGGTTTAGATATGGCAGATATTAAGTGTGGTTAGCTAGGTGCTACATTGTCGAAACTTTTATCTACTCCAAAAGGTTTCCATCAGTTACATAAAGTAATGTTTTTCAATACGACCCTCAAATAATATAATAAAGCCTAGATTGTTCTTTATTAGATAAGACCAACTATAGAATATTACCTTTTTAGACATTTGAGGTTTTATAATATTAATCCACGACATGATATGTACATCACATCATTAAAACTGGAAACAGGGACTGTTCACCTATTCTTAGTTCGTAAAAAGTGCGGGAATGCTTGGCCGATGATATAAAACAAATATTAATTCCAATGCCTACATAGGAAATTCTTTTTTTTTTACTAATTGAGGTTTAGCAAAGTCAATGTACGGCATATTAACATATGTGCATTTTTAGAATCGGAATTAAAAAATGTATGCCATGTTGAAAATCTAATTATGCCATCATATAGAGGAGAAAGAGTAGTTATATTAGTGTACCTTTTATTTTGACATCCTATCTAAAATAAAGACAGAAAACAAATTAATATGATTTTGGGAAAATTCGGCTTCTTTCGTATATCTCCGGAAATACTCGGAATTACTTTCTAAGTGTCATTTTATTAGTTACTCAAATACGCAACTAACTTTCGAGTCGAATTTGAAACACCCTGTAATACATCTTTGCTGCAACCATATGATTGGACTTTCAGGTATATCAAAAAAAGAGAACCAACGGACTCGGATGCTTCTGAAAGTCCTCGCGGTATCGGACGTCATCATATTCCGCACTCGGGCGGAAAGACTGCAACGAGACATGTACTCATTCCTAGGAGGAGCCTCGAAGGCGTACAAGGACCACTTTGCGGCTTCCCTTCAAAAGGCAATGGGCGAGAATGCTTCTGGAGGGGGCGCTGGCTTTGGACCCGGAGTGGTGGTTTTTCATGAGACCAGGCATACGCAGACTCTGCACGAGAGCGCGGGGGTCACGCAGTCGGCCGAGGATATTTTGCAAGGTGAGCATTTAACTCACTAATTTGCTAATGGTAGGACTTGAAAGGCTTCGCAAAAACCTTGTGGGAAATGGCTTTCTGGTTCTTTTTTTATATTAGTATGTTATAGATCTCATCACATACAGTAAAAATGTCATCGGGCCCAAAGTTTTTCTATGAGTAATAGTAGTAGTGAGATTTGAAAAGGTGAAAGTACAGTATCCCATTTGAATGTTTTGGCAAGTAATATCTCATAAACGCAGTATTTAAATTTAATGAACTACAATGCACGTAACAAAATGTGAAATATTTGAGCAAGCAGACAGTCGTGCATAGGATGTTAATTGCCTATGCCACATTCTTTTCCCTCATCAAGTCAGTCACATCTTCTAAAGTTTATAAAACTAAATTTCTTCGATTAGCATTCAGCATCTTTTCGGTCTTTTTCGTTCTGTGATCTCCCGCAATTCGATCTTCAGTGCTTGGATGAAGGTCACTTTCGTCCTCTTGCGCTAGTTCTAGCGAGTTGGCTGCAGCACTGGTATTTGTCCCAGACGTTGTTACATTGATAACCCATTTTTCTACGATACTGATCAGTATGCTAGAACAATGAATCTGCTCATGTCCAGTTCACCCGTTTTAATCAGACTTTCTTGCTCCAAGATACTGGTCAGCTCTCTCAGATTTCCTTTTCGAATTTGGTCATTGTGTCTTATCCCTGTTATGCCTAAATGAGCTATGTAGACACTGAGCCTTCTTCTGTAAGTTCTGGTTTCTTTTTTTTTCCTTATTACTGCTTGCTTCTACCTTCTGTTCCTGCTTAGTATGATCGTGAATTTCGATTGCCGGTGGACGAAACAAATCCATTTTCTGAAATCTCGATCCATAAGCTTTACATTTTTGAACGTAGCTACATTCAAAGTTCTTTTTACCATCTTGAGAGCATTTTCTGCCACTTTGTTTTTGGGGAATACACAGCTTCCCTTTTGAACTAATCCCCATTAATCGCCAGGAATTCTTGGAATTCTTTTGACTTAAACGATGAATAGACTCTCAGAAACAATAACTTTTGCGAGTCTGAAGCTAGCAAATTTCCTATGTAGAAGAGTGATCATAGTAATTGTTAGACATTGACTTCGACTCTAGAGCTTCCAGCCATTTTGAGTGACTGCCCACTGTCACCAAGTAATATAGCCCTACAAATGGTCCTATATAGTCACTATGAATCCTTTGCCAAAGTTTCGATGGAAAATCCCACGGAACCAACGTTGCCTTGGCCAGGTTGTCCTTATTCATAATACAAGGATAGCAATCCTTTACAACATTTTCAATATCATTATCTAATGAACCTCTATGACCTCATCAGTGAATTCGTCTTGCAAATGCCCATATGTGATGCTTATAATTATTTCATTACTATGCCTTGCAGACTTGGAGGCACTACCATTTGATATCCACATAGTATTTTATCCTTCTCAACATTAAATCGACTTCAGACATACGCTAGCAAGTCCTATTTAACCGAAACGAAATGTGTTTTAGGTTACTTATTTATAAAAGAATTTTCTATTCTATTCTCCATTGAAATAAATTATTAATATTATTATACATAATCCAGCCAAAGATTGATAACAAGCCTCATGACGTTTAGGCAACACGTACAACTAAATGCTAAGTTAACATCTTGTAGAATAACCTACATAATGTCAAAAAAACAGCATAATGTCAAAAAAAATCGGCATAATGTCACTTTTCAAGATACGTGATACCCGTGCCGAGCGGTACCGTCTAAGTTATAAATGGCCCAAATATCGGCGAACAGGGAGTCTTACAGAGAGACATACAGGCAGACAGGCCGGGAGAAATGACATGGTTTTCCGTTATGTACATGTTATGTGACATACAGAAAACATTTCATTTTCGGATTTTTTCGCTATTACAATACTGCCTCGCCAGTTATGGAAGTAAAACAGACGAATAGTCTATACTGGTGGACTCAACAGTACGTTGGTGACTTCCGGTGCTTAGATGGGATATGATGCTGGATGCAATTCCGTACATCAGCTCTTCTGTATTCATTCGTCACCCTAAGAAATTTTAATTCAATTTGGTCCGTTTGTTTTCGAGATTTCGAAGTAATTTTGAATGTGTCACAAAAGAACTGATTTGACGTAATTGTTGTCTTATTCAGATAACCTGAAGACGCGTTCACTAATAAGTAATAAACATTTATTGGTGCATGGGTTCCTGGACTAATGGATTAATATTTATTTTCAGTAAAAGTTTATGCTAATAAAAAATTATAAGACATTTTAAATGAGCGAGAGCTTTGCGGGAGAGAATATACCATTATATAATTTAATAAATTCCTAATTGGCGAAGCAGCGCATGCTTTTTTGATAAATAAATAGCGTTTTCATGTGTGAATTTATGCTATCAGCTTAAAAAAATTACAAAAAGTTACGGAATTTCTAAGATAGATTGGGGTGAGTAATACAATTCTCCGTAATCAAGTGAATAATTGCAAAACTTCGACAACAGTTTATCCGTAATACTAGCATGTATATGAGTGAATAAGTTCCTTGGAAACTGCCTGGAACAGTGTGTATTCTACATTAGTCACGTAATACCATACCAAACAACACATGATGATTTTTCTTCAAAAAATAGCATTACCAGCTATTACTTTAACAGAAATGTCAACATAGAAAAATTGTGTCAAATCCTAATTCTTAGTTAAATGACATTTACTCTATGTCAAAACAAACACGGCTGCTTGGTAGCGCAATTATCCTGTTAGTGTTTGTTTATTACTGCGTATCCTGTGTTTGGCCTCGCATAAAAATGGCATCTGAATAAGGTATAGCATCTCTGAGTTCGGCCGAACGAGAATTGACGAGTCTAGTTCAGACTGTCGATTCCCTTAAAGCTCTCTTTCATCGAACTCCACGCAGCGGTCCATTTGTCGTGAAATTTGTCAAAAATTAAAATTTGGCGAGGTAATATTTTATTCGTTGTGTTGTGCGTTGAAAAACTGTAAACATCTGAGTATGGATCATAATAAAGCAGGTACAAACTTTCATTTGATGTAATAGACGTATATCATATTGGTTACTTTCAGTTGCACCTAGCTACCTAGTATGGCTTCGCCTAGTCTGCTAAATGTCATCTGAATGTACCACTTTGGGAATTTTGAAAACCTTCAGATTGATTGACAGAATTCACATATGTGAAATAGGTTATGTTCAGCTGTGCCAGTTGTCAATACTTCATGCAGCTAGGTGCATCTGAACGAAACCATTATTGTTGTTTATTATGCATTTATTACTGGAGTTATTAGCTGTGGCATGCAAGGCAAAATGTTCTAGCCACGAGCATATTTTGGATGCCCCTGAACTTACGAGTACTACGTTTGGACACGGTACCATCGAGTGCGTTGCATTTTGGTGGAGGTAAGGCACAAGTGCCCTTTTGAAATGCTGGGATGCTAAACGCCTGCAGTAGGCGGCACTGTTTCTTATTGTCAGCACCTGACAGAAGATGCATTTGAATTAAACAAAACATAGAGAAGTTATGTTCACAACCTGGAGTGTATTAGATCATTAGTGTTGTATTTATGTGCACCTTGGGTTGAACGAATTAATATTTTTCCTATACAATTTTATGTTACTATTAGTTTGAGGAGATTTTAATAAAGTTCTGTTCTTTGTCAAATCGCGATTTTTTATGTTTGTGAACCTCGATGTGGTACCAGATAAAATCTAGTCATTTCTTGCTAACTTTTACAAATTATTGAGGAATATAACCGTATACAGGGTGTTCCTTAATGATATGCTAATATTTAAGGGTGTGCATCTACATGACAAATTAATGTTAGTTTGCTTTATAAACTATGGTCCTAAAATGTTTCCTTACAAAAACTCGGGGTGCTGAAGTTTTAGGGAAAAAATGGAAATTAATTAATATTTTCAGAACCGCTTCAGATATTTCACTGATATTTAGTACGTAGTGAAAGTTAACAAAGTTGCATATTTTTCAACGCAAAAATAATGTTTAGCTTTAACAGTGGCGTGCGTACGGCCATTGACTTCGATATTTTTTAAGAAAAAAATGGTACGACAATGGTTTTTTGCCAAATATTATTTTTGAATTCCCCGTTCAATTTAAAACAAATGATCTCGCTTGAGTTGCTTTATTTCGATGCGCCATTTTTGACTAAAAAAATAAAAACCGTTATATTGTCTAACTTGCAAAATTATTATTAATTTAATTGGAAAAATTAAACACAATAGGGGTAATGAACAACAACAACTGACAACATAAACATAACATTAAAACCAACGAAATTATTACAAAAATTGTCGTTGAAAAGGGCCCCCTTCACTTAATATGCATGCTTCCGCCCTCCTTCTCATGGAATTGCGCACTCGTTGAAGTATTCCTGGAGTGTTTTTTATTCGATCACAAGCTGCAACTATTCTTTCTCTTAATCCCTCTACAGTGTTAATGGGACTCTTGTACACTAGTGTCTTAAGATTTAGCCCCACAAAGGGAAATCTAAACTGTTGAGGTCTGGGGACCCTGGTGGCCATTCTTGGGGCCCACCGCGGCTAATCCACCGATTTGAATAAACAGTTTGTAAATAATTACGAACCGCTACATTGAAATGCGCTGGTGCACCATCATGCATGTAGCACATATTGTTTCTTATTACTAACGGAACATCATCAAGCAGCGAAGGCAACTGTTGTTAAAGAAAATTGAGGTAAGTCTATCCGTCAAGTCGTCCCGGCAAGAAGAATGGGCCAATAAAGTGGTTGCCAATAATTCCTGCCCATACGTTAACCGAAAATTGGTAACGGAAATGGGCTTCGGTTACGGCATAGGGATTTTCTTCTACCCACAAATGATTATTGTGGAAATTCTGAATGGCATTTCGAGAAAAATTAGCTTGGTCCGTGAACAGAGTCATTGATTCAAATTGCGGATTTTGCGTAATTTTTTGAAGATACCACTAAAAATCCAAACAATTTGATGGCAAATATTTAAGTGTCTAGCGATCTTCCTTGTACTCGTTTCAGGATGTTCTTCGACTTCGTGCAGCACTGCTTCCTCAATTTCAGGTGTTCTCACACTTAGAGGTCTACCTCCAGATGTTCCTTTTCGGACAGAACCAGTTTCAACAAGACGACGATGAATATTAAGAAAAGGTTCGACTATCTGGCAAAGCACGATCGGGATATCTCTGGTGATAAATCCGTCTGGCTTGCTCACCATTACCGTCGGCAAGGCCATATACGTAATGCATTTCCGCCATTTCTGCATTTGAATAATTCACCATTATTAACAAGATTGTAAAAACTAAATAATGAAAAAGATGTCACAGTGAACAGATTTGAATAACACAGACTTGTCAGATGTCAAAAGCCCGTGACATATTCCAGAGCAACTAGATATTTATTGCTAAATTGCATTCTTCAATCATTACATTAATTTTCTCGGACAATAGAACGGTTTTTATTTTTTTTACTCAAAATCGAAGGAAAACAATTCAAGAGAGATCATTTGTTTTAAATTGAACGGGAAATTCGAAAATAATTTTTATTTGGCAAAAAAACATTGGCGTACCATTTTTTTCTTAAAAAATATTAAAGTCACCCTCACGCACGCCACTGCTAAAGCTAATAAAAATTATTTCTGCATTGAAAAATATGCAAATTTGTTAACTTTCACTACGTACTAAATATCAGTGAAATATCTGAAGCGGTTCTGAAAATATTAATTAATTTCCATTTTTTTCCTAAAACTTCAACACCTCGAGTTTTTGTAAGGAAACATTTTTGGACCATAATTTATAAAGCAAACTAACATTAATTTTTCAGTTAGACTCACACCCTTAAATATTCGCATATCATTAAGGAACACCCTGTATACTGCCATATTATGGCAGGTGGTTTGAACTGATTGATAACCTTTTTGAATTTATCATTTGAATAGCCTTCAAGTGAATCGGCAGAGACAAGCCGATCATTGATCTTGATTCAACGACTGCAAAGACCTATATGGCACACGTTTGGACTCGATTGCTAGATTTATTTTGAATTTGTCATTGCCCTCATAGTGACCAGCTGACCTCTGATTCGGACTCTATGATCGGGACAACATAAGTGGCGTGAGGGTAGGCTCAATTGCCTGACGTCATTAGAAAGTGTCATTCAAATGACCATCGATTGCTCTCATAGAGACAGATTAGCGACCCAAAAAAACGTGCCCTATCCTATCACTGTTATGGACCAGTATGTGACGTAGCCGTAGCATCCCAGTGAGGGAACGATCTTCAAAACAATTTACAATGGCACCTCAATTAAGTTTATTTTTATTTCCAGCTACATTTGCACAACTCAACATTTCCTACGACGCATTTAGTTTCATCAAGTATGTTGGCATTAATAGCGGCAGTGGACCTACTTCCTTCAAAGAATTGGAGATTGCTGTCATGGACAAGCTTGATAGTACAGAAGTACGATCTAGAAGAGATGCAAAGTACATCTACCTGACATTGAAGGTAAAAATATGAAGATATTATCATCGCTTTGCACAATAAAACTTGTTTTACTAAAAATAGACTAGTGGATATAATGTAATCTATGTCTATGTATTTATTTTTTACTCTTGAACAAATAGAACAATTAACATAATTATTAAGCTGTCTTTTAAATGATGACTTAGGAAACAGTTGAATTTATAGCTATTTATATTGATAAAAGGGAAATCAAATTGCGATGGCCCAAAAACAGTAGCCATCAAGTAATTTAACTAAGCACTTCCCACTCATTAATATTAGCTTTAAATCCTTTTTTATGTTGCAGAATTTGAATGACAAATTCCAAAATCAATTAACTAACGAAACACCACAGTTGTATCTACCAGCTTTTTTCACATGTCAAGAAAAATGTCAGTCATGTCATGTCGGTTGCAAGCTTTCCATGGGCCACAAGGAAGAGGGTGAACCACACTGTAGTGATCAGAACTGCTTGTTTCAACATCAGTATCAAAACTGTGTGTACCTTTGCAAGGTATGTGCAAGTTTGATTACAGAAAAATTCAAGGTCTAATAATGGGGTATTTAAAAAAATGTTACGATAGGATATCAATGTTTTTCTATCAAAAAATGTATAGTGCTTTCACTGAAACAAAGCAGTACGTCATATTTAGTGAATTTGAATGCTAACCTTAATGCAAAATAGATCCTAAATTGGTACGTGTACTTTGAATTTGCCGGGTACATTTATGTTAGTAACAGTTTTCTGTGTTGTGACATCATAGCTTGTCAGGTAATTACGCCAATGGCTGTTGTTTATTTGTGACTGATATCCTAGGATCTAGTTGCTTTAAGTTATGGGGCACCCATGTGCGTCACTGTCATTATTAGGCGTTGTGACGTAACTGCTTTGATTCAGTGAATATACTGTATTAATAGGAATATGAACAAAATTCAATCCTCACCTCGGCTGAAGTATTTATTGACGTTCTTGAGATGTCATTGTTTAAATGCCCTCCTAATTTGAAAATACTGGAATCGCCAGAAATCTGTACCGATAGAATAAAAGCCGGTCTTTTACAAAATTTATTTCAATTTGTTAGATTTTGCTACAGAACAAATAAGACGTTTTAGTATAGTTTGACGGTTATATTATTTTGTGTCTCCCTTATTATCGCTCAGAGTACGGATATATTGGGTTTTGTGTCGTTAAAAAATGTATCCATGCGAAAAAATGACGTCAAGTAAGTTGACTCTGTACTTCTCACGCTTCGCTTTCATCAGTTCGTAAACGATTATGTTTGGCACAAGCTAGCCATTCTGAGAAAAAAGTTAGCTACGAACTTGTATAAGAAAAAAATAAATGCCCTACCTCCTCCCGCTGAGAGGAATTGCTGCAGGCGCACACGATCGTTGTGATGACCAGTCCCGCGTGAATGACGTTATGGGCCTTCACCATTCACAGTGCACGCAGGTCACAGCAGTGCGCAACCGAGTGCCGACTGTGACGTACAACCACAGACGACGACGTTTGTCCATCGGATTACGACACCCGACTGTAAGATATTTCAAGTTTTAAGATTAAATGTACGACGACATATATGATTAGTGAAATATCCCTAATGTGCGTAGAATTACTGGGGTTGGAGGTGTATAAGTATACCAACGTCAATAAATTGAGATATCCACTCCCCTACCCCCTGCAACCACTAACCTCCAATTTTAATACCTATAAAAACTTTTCCGAAAATGATCAGGATCGTCTGATACGTCTCAAAACAAAGATTGAGCGATTTTAATTTTTTGTGTTTTGGCCATTTTCTTCGCAACTGAACCAATTTTCAAAAACTATGCTTTTGCGTCTTAGCATAGTAGTAGACTTCTCAAGATGTATGCGGTTATTAGATTAGCGGACAGACAGCTAGACCGACGGAAATGTGACTTTGTTTTTCATGACATACATGTCATATAATATCATCCAAAAAACATAATATCTCATTTTCGAAAATTTTCGCGATTACAATACTTGCCCGCCAGTAGGCGTGGGAAGTAAAAGGTAAGTTACTCTAAAAAGATTCTATTTTCGTATGACTAACATTTTTTGTGTACTATTTCGATTCAGTCACTGAGATCATTTTGGTTTTAATTAATTCTAGAAGTGATAATGATGTTGAAATTCGGATCTTTGTAGAGTATTTTTTTACCTCGAGATATAATATATATGTATGCATGAGCATGACATAAGAAAAAAGAAATATATGTCCACCGGATTTGGCCAAGCATCCAATTGACAACCAGCATGAATTTGATTTTACAAATGTAAAAATTCTAGACAAAGAATCGGACTTTTTCAAAATAATCGTCCTCGAAATGATATAAAGAAATACACTACCAATATAAATATTATAGAACTGATACAAATAATCTATCAAGTATACAGGATATAAATTAGAATAAAGTTGCGTTCTTTGAGGCAAAAAATATCAGAAAAATAATTAAACTTTTCCATTGGCACTTTTAAAGTACTACAAAATAATAATAATAATAACGCATTTATTTGTTGTTGCTAGGTACTGTTCCTAGCATACACAGCTGCACAGCTTGCGCGTTCCGTTGATACACACATTGATATCGGCTGGATTAATATTGTTTTTTTATTGATTTAACAACATCCAGACCATGCTTATTTTGATTTGTTTTACCAGCAAAACAGCTGCTTCTTTGTTTTCTTTTTTCAGCGTACTGCTGTACGAAAATACAGTGTTTTCTCAGTTGGAATCTCGACCATTTTTGCGCTAGATGATACAATTCCAATGTTGAATTCTGACTTTAATAGATTATTCGAAAACTCCAACTCACTTAATAGTTTTCCAAGTAACTGCTTTTCCAGCTTTAGACATTCAATTTCTTTCGCGTAAATATCCAGTTTACCACCAAGATCTTCTGGCACTTTCTTGAAGTTTTTGTTGCACGTATCACATAACCAGCATACATTTCCATTTTTTAATACATTTTGCACCTCGTCTTTTATAGAAACACACTGACTGTGATATCGCGTTTTACAACCATTGCACTGCACGTATTTTCCATATACTATGAAATTATCCGAGCAGCGCTCGCAGACGTGCACATCGCTCGACATCTCTCATAAAATGGTGTTTTTAAATTTTGTGCCTGACGTGATTTGAGAAACAAACCATCATGAAATTTATTTTTTCATATGTCCCGAAAAAAGTACACCCTGTATCTAATAGCATTTTTTATACGAATCCAAAATGTATCACATGTTACATTTATTTTCTTGGTTATAAGAAAAAAAATCGTTTTTTCAGGTTTTTTATTTTTTTAAGTAGGCACAGTAAACAAATGACTGACTTGACCTAAATATCTGTCACCGAGTATTGTTGTTATTGTGTATTGTTAATATTGCTTTATTAAAGTCAGAGATGCCAGGAGGTCATTTTAGCAATGGAGAAAAGTTCGACATTCTGACGTGCTACAAAAATACTACAAATTCTTCAGAAATGTAGTTGAAAAGTTTTATTCCATATTTTTATTGTGTATTTAAAAAGCTTAATTCCAGATCAGTCGCTGCACCACGCTGCACAAGCAAAATCACAATACCAAAGCGTCAACAACAACGCCAAAATGCATCATAACCTTATTATCATCTGTCAAAAAAGCAGACACAGAAATCAAATAGCGACGGACCATTCTGTAGAACAAAATGGGAATATCTTCTGTCCTTGTCACATCGTCGGACAAATGTAGAGTCACATTCTATGAAGGGGGCGGAGAAAATATTACTTCGTCACGCCAGATATCACGTCACACAGTTGACGGCAAATTTTATTTTTAAACATTTTTAAAATCACTCAATAGACATTTTTAGATATAGAACTACAATTTGGAACAAAAATTTTTTTTTAAAATACCCCTTGTAGGAATAACTGACGATACGGCCCTAAGACCTTGGGTAGCGAACAAAAATAATATCATCTAACGAGAGTTTGGTCACTAAATGACATAGAAAATGCAACACCGACTAGGAGTGCTGTAATTTTGAGTATACTTTTACAAGTCTTAGGTCTACTGATAAATAGAAAGTGATTAAAATTTTAACTCGAAATTTCGCAAAATAGCTGAGATATCCCATCTTAATGTTGATAATATGTTGCAGCTCCTCTGTTCGCTACACATTTGTTAAGTCGTCGCGGGATTGATAGGATTAGGTTATTGATGTATTCGTGGTGTATTTTATCCCAGGCCGTCTGAATTTGGTTTTGTAGAGGCTCCAATGTTTCTGGAGGGTGCGGTGGATTCTGCAACCTGCTTTCCATCATGTTCCATATATGATTGATGTAGGAAAAATTTGGAGATTGAGGAGGCCATTGAAGCAGATTTACTCCGGATACTTCTAAAAAGTATAAAGTAACACATGCGGCATGAGGTCTTACATTATTCTGCTGAAAAAGTGGATCTTGTTCCATTCCATATTCCATTCAAGTACCTCCCTACTATATACCAATCCTTGCTGACAATGCTGTGGGGTCAGAGGTAGTACAAGATGGGGACAGTATGAAAACATTCCAAAAGACCTTATTCGGCAATAAACTGCCTTCATTGTTATTGCCCTTCCGACAGTGTCAAACCACTGGTTCGCCACTACCCTTGTGGAAAATCGATCTCTAAGTGCTAGTTGTCGATTCTGTCGCTCTGTAGTCTGTCAGTACCTCTAACTTGTCGATTTTGGCCTTCTTGGAACCACGATCGACAACATCTCATTACAGTAGCTTCGTTTCGATTCACCCGAGTAGCGATTTCTCTAAAAGAAAATCCGGCTTTACGTAACCCGATTATCCGACCCCTCTCAAAACTCGGAAATTTGAGTGAAATTAGAACATCTGCGAACTCTAGGCATGATAATGCAATGAAGCAACAATTAAACAAATGGAACCAACACAGAAAAATTACTGAATATTAAGTAAACATGTTCATATTGTTCGGATCCTGATATGACAAAAAAAATCTTTACAAAAAAAGTATGCCTTCAACATTTTATCAGCGAACCATATACTTCCATGATAGCAAATATGCTTTCAAATTCTTATCAAAATTCAATAATTCTGAGTGTTGCATTTTATATGTCACTTAGTATATCTTTAATCGCCGCAAAACTCATTTTTGGGCTCAAGAAAATATGTGGGCTAAAAAAGTATCCAGACATCAAGAACGTTTTGGGTTTAATATGTTGTGGTGTGGAATTCTAGGTAACAAAATATTAGGTCCATTCATTTACAACTCGTTTACGGCAGAACGGTGTCTTAAGTTGTTGCAACATGATGTAGAAGACTGCCTGGATACCTTTGGCACAGGTTTATAGCTGTTGGTTTCAACAAGACGGTGCTCCCGCACATAACTCTAGGCAAGTTCTATAGAATCTTTCTCAGCAATTTCCCGGAAGCTGGATTGGAACCTCCAGTGAAGTGTCCTGGCCAGTGCGTTCCCCGGACTTGACTCACCAGAAATGTTATGTGATGTTTTAAATTATACTGTTAGATTATATTTATGTTTAGAAAATAATGATAATCTATTTGAACACCTATTGTGAATAAAATAGAAATATTTCCGTTATTCTGAATATCACTAGATTAAGCATCATCTTATAAAATTTTACCAAATCGTATCATTATATCATAATGTAATAGGCATATATCAGCAGTCACATAATCTTACATCAAGCAACGCCTACTTGAATAAAATAAAAAATGCATTTTTCTTTATAACTAAGAAAACAAATGTAACATGTGATACATCGTTCAATTCGTATAAAAAGGAGATACTAGATACAGTGTGTACTTCAATTCGGATCATATAAAAAAATAAAGTTGATGATGGATTCTCAAAAACGCAACGTCGGGCACAAAATTTAACACTATGTCGTGCCTAAAAAGTGCCAGTAAAAAAGTTCCAGTATTTTTGTAATACTTCTTAAAATAAAGTCAGAAAAAAATAAAAACTATTTGGCCAAAGTTTAGTTTTTACCAAATACCTCAGTAAGCCATGTACTTTTTACAAGTTTCTTGGACACCCATATAATAATAATAATAAATTGCTTTTATTGCTCGTGTAAGTACAGAAAAAGAAAAAGTACATAAATCTGATGCAGTGAGCAAACGGCAAGGTTCGCTTGATTGACAACCATTAGTTGTCAATCCGCGCTCCAACTTAATGTAAAAAGATAATATTCTTGTATATATATATATTACCGTTGTTTTGTTTTCATTTCAATTAGAGAATATTTATGACAGTCGTTGACCCTACACTCAACTACCAACATGTATCTGGCCGAAATGTTATTATTTTTACCAAGTAATATAATTACATTTTGTAAATTTTCTTTTTTTTTATCGTGTTTTGTATTGTAATTTCTTACGCTTTGTTTAGTTTTAGAAACTCATATCTACCTGAAGATGGCATTTAGTCGCCGAAACGTATTTATAATAAATGTTTCAAGCTGGCCGAATCCCAAGAATTTATAACTTGAATTGATATCAACAGTCAGAAATCCAAAACTGCAATATATATACAGTTGATAATGAATTGTTTTTTATATTGTTTTTTTGTTGTAAATCTTTTGACGACAAGTATACGTACCGTTATATTTTATGTTGGTGTTTTCAGTGTGAAACGGTAATATTTTCAGAACGTTGACATTTTCAGATGGGTGAACATTGATTTTCATTCCTAGTACTACATCACCATGCTATATTTCAACGTATCTCATTTTTTTTTGTCTCAAAACCCTGAAAGGTATAGGTATTAAATATTCATGACAACTATGTTGCTTTTTAGGCATGTTACAAGAATGGTCACAGAACTGTTGTAAAACCAAGTTACCAATCTGCTCAGGACTCATCGTGGTCAGGTTACTTTAGCTTTGTCTGGTCTGGATACCTGATAGAATGTTCTAGGTGCGGCATTATTTATCAGAGCCGGAAGCACTGGTATGGTAACAAGAACCCTGAAGACTGTGCAGTCCGCATTCAAGTAGTACATGTCTGGCCAGGGGTAAGTGGAGCAGGCTTTACTAGAGTGGCTTATAGGACCACTACAGTGTCTTGTATAGATTGCTTTGTGGGTAATAGCGCTTTTAAAGGACCATAACCCCCCATGCTTATCTGGGCAGTAAAACCAGGTGTATTGACAGATCTTCTTTAGTGTAATAAACGTTTCAATTACAAAGATGATCTGCGGTACAATGACAATATTTGATTCATGTCTGTCAAGTGAAAGTTCCTTTTTTTGTTTAATTAACGTTTTAAAAAACTAAAAATAAAAATGGTACCTGGAAGATATAAATCAAATATTGTCATTGTACTGAATAATATCACCTTTATCATTGAACCGCTTAGTACAGTAAATAAAAGCTGTCAATACATGTAGTTTAATTGGCCACACAAACAAGGGGGATTATAGACATGTAAACCACAGGGTAAGTTTCAGATGTTACATGTTTCTAAAGGGCTGTTCTCACCGAGTGCAACTGGAAATCGCAACCCGCCGCAAACCGACTTGACACATGTATTCAAATAAAGCTTTCCCGTCCCGGGATGTTAGTGGGACACTTCAGCTAACGTTCCCGTTGTATCCTAAAACAATGATAATGTGATAAACGTGCTTCTTTATCGCGTTTTTTTTTGTTCAGAAGAGCTAATGTTGAAATAAGAAGTGTGTTAAACAAGTAGTGCATGAGGCAACATCAGACTTAAAAATGTTTGCATAATAGATGTTACTTTCCGTAGATCGTTCATTGCACATTAGTTGTTATGTATTAGGAATGTTAAGCTTTAATAAAAAATACTTTGTTAATTGATTGATCTGACTAGATTTTATTTGTGAGATACTGAAACGATTTTTCTATCAATCAGAGTTTTTAAGTATCAAAATAGTCTTATTTATATTCCGCAATCGTATTAGTAAGTCCACAGTGATTTTATACACAATATCAAGACGAGGCTGCTAGTTGCTTAGTAGTTGTTTTCTGCGAAAACGCAAAATCAACAAGCTTTTGGTGAGAACTGTGCTTTATAGGCGTGGTTTTCTAGTGAGCATGCGTTGTTAAAATATTGGTGAATTGGTAATTATAGAAAATGTTTTCATTTTCGCAGTGATCGGTTCTGATGATAGATGGCAATTTGTGCTGTCTTATTTCGATGCAATGTGTGTTCACCCAAACCACTGTACATACACTTTGACGTGATTCCCTCACTGTTTTCTAAAACTAATAAAATGTAGTGTTCTTATGAGCCTGATTAACCTTTCCAAATGCTAATATAAGAACGTTGAAATGTATTCAGGAAAAGGACAAAATTTACTTCCAGGAAAAGTGTCTTTTTGGTTCCTACAACTCCGCTCAGAAAGTCTTGGACGGAGTTACGATGGTTTCGGAGGTGCTAGCCAGCGTTAGTTCTCAGCCTAAAAAAGTCATCAGTGACTGGGCAGCCGACAAGATTGCGCCGAGTTATTGGAGACCAAACCATGAAATAAAGGTGGGTATTTTAGTGAAAAAAGGTAACTCATATTAGTTTTCGGGACTGCGATTGCAGAAAATCAGCTACACTCTATTACTAACAACTTTGTATATGCAGCAGTGGCATGTAGACTTATAGACAGTGTTTTCAGAACATAATTCAAACATGATGCGAATGTTACGAATGAACTACTGAAAAACTGCTGAAAATGATATAGAGTCCAAGTCCAAGATTCTAGTCTCCTCGTCACAAACTGTCCTAATCTTCCAAGTACACCAATGACATTGCTTTCTGAGATTACATACAACTGTTGTTTTTTTTTGACAGTGGAAAGCTTTTATAGCCACTCTCACGCAGAAATGCTCGACAGCATTGCGCTGTCAGCATTTCCTGCCTGATATGAGATTCTCCAGAAATGTGGCATACTAACTAAAATCCCCCAGCCTTTTGCTACACATCACACCACGGTAATGCAACATTTCAACATGGTGGGTAGCATTGCGCTAAGATTTCATATCAATTGTTGGCTCCTTGGTCTGTTTTTATCATCTGGTACTTTGCTCTGCATCGTCCGCCTTACTATTGGTTGAATGTCAACTCATTCGGCCTCGCTTACATACATGGCAGAATATGCATATGTTTGTATACTGTAAACACTCCCCTGGCTTCAGCTAATATAAAGCCTGTGCTTGAGGAAATATATGAAGCAGTCTTAAAAGCGTATATTTTTGAAAGATTACCCAACTGTGCGTTTTGAAAACCAATTTCAGTCATTATAGATCTCACTGCGGAAGGCGATATCTCAGGGACTAAGTCTGGACTGAATTGAATTAGATAACCCGATAAATCCAACCTCAAACTGAGAGTTCGACAATTAATGACGGTGAAAATAACGTCTGTTATCTTGACTCGAACTGGCCAATCAATAAAGGGATGGCGGGTGACAAGTCGCTAATAGCATTGCGTTTCGATATTTTAAATTTATTGCGTATTTTTTCTATTTTTCCATTAATACTCGTGATCTTATAGTGCTTAGATATAACAGGTGGGCTGAAAAGTTCGTAGGCTGGCATAGAAATAAAATGTTTTTGATAGAATTGGATTTTATTATTCAATATAGTTCCCTCCGAGGGCGATACAATTTTTCGATACCATTTTTATATGATTTGTCTTTAGCCACAAAATAAGCTTCAGTTTCGGCGATTACCTCTTCGTCGGCGCGAAACTTCTGTCCAGCGAGCATCCTTTTGAGGTCAAGAACAGAAAAAAGTCGCTGGGGGCCAGATCTGGAGAGTACGGTGGCTGCGGAAGCAATTCGAAGCCCAATTCATGCAATTTTGCCATCGATTCCATTGATTTGTGACACGGTGCATTGTCTTGATGAAACAGTACTTTCTTTTTCTTCAAATGCGGCCGCTTTTCCGCGATTTCGTCCTTTAAACGCTCCAATAACGCTACGTAATAGTCGCTGTTTATTGTTTTTCCCTTTTTAACTGACTGTCGATTGGACTCCGGTGTGAAATGATGGAGCCATGTTTCATCCATCGTCACATGTCGACGCAAAAATTCGGATTTATTACGATTAAACAGCTCCAAAAACTGCTTAGAATCATCGATTCGTTGTTGTTTTTGGTCGATTGTGAGCTCGCGCGCACCCACTTTGAACAGAGCTTTCACATATCCAAATATTCATTCACGATATGACCAACACGTTCCTTTGCTATATTTAGGGTCTCAGCTATCTCAATCAACTTCACTTTACGGTTATAAAAAATTATTTTGTGGACTTTTTTGATGTTTTCATCTGTAACAGCCTCTTTGGGGCGTCAACTGCGTGCATCGTCCTCGGTACTCATTTCGCCTGGTTTAAATTTAGCGAACCACTTCTCTACGGTAGATTTTCGAATAATGTTTATCAAGCTAAGCCTTGGTTTCAACAGTATTTTTTTTCGCCAAAAAGCAATGCTTTATTAACACACGAAATTCCTTTTTATCCATTTTTTCAAAGTAACAAAATTTCTTTCACTAAAAATGCTATAACTCAGGTACTAATACGCACGTCTTTTGAAGGTTAGGACTAACTGAAAATCATATGGATTTGGTACTATTAGCGCCATCTATGTGTGAGCCTACGAACTTTTCAGCCCGCCTGTTAAAATCAGGTTGGATGTCTTATTCTGTGATAATATAGACTATAAATAAAGATAATTAACCGATATTTGAATTACATGCATAATTCCTATTATCAATACTGAGCATAAAACTGGTACTTAATCCATCACGATTCGCCTGTCTATGACATGTGACGTTTAGATTTTGCCAAAACTTAGAAAGCGTGTGACCTTCATTGAATCATGTCTGATCGAAATAGTGAATTTTCTGCCATTATGCGAATACATACTAGGTATTATTTTCAAATACCACGTTATTTTATCATCCCATTCGATTAACACGCTGTTCCTCTTTCAAATATCTGCTATTTATTTCGCGCAAAGTATCGTTTACGTGAGTTTAAAGCATTACGTGCATTTTGGAAGACTATATAAGGCTCGATTTAGCTTTGTGATTGTGGGCGTTTCCCTTCTCAAATAAAATGAGTGTATCTTTGGACGGGCTGCGTATTTCACATTATTAACGAAAACCACTGGTTTATGTCCCTGTTTTTTCTACCACCGAACACACGTTACGTTTTTTTTCATTCAGCATTCTAAAAATGGTAGTTGCTGACAGTTTTGTCATATCGCTACATCGTTGAACAATATCTCTTATAAGTTGTTCTGGAAATGCGTTATAAACATTTTTTCTATATTGCTTTGTCCAAAATATAAAACATGACGGTTATGAGGTAGACTATCCGTGCTTGGTGATACATCTTTTATTACCCACGAATTTTCGGAACCTCTCGACTCACCTTCTTTCCGATTATCCGCGCCGCAGCTGGTTGACACTATATACATAGAACGTTGCAGTAATGCTAAACCAAAAAACGATAATTTTAGTGATGTTTATTTAAATCACATTGTTGCTGTCATTATCATTATCAATCATCAAACTCGTCACTTTATGGAAGAGGCCCAAATTTTATTTTTTTCTGCAAAAATTGCAGTATACTCAAAATGTATCGGTCAACTTTAAAACTTGGTATTTGTTAATGTATCTCGGAACTTGTCACCAGATAAGTTTCTTCCTAAAGATATATATTACATAAGTTTACAATTTTCCAGGTTTTATAGACATTCGAAATAATGTGCTTCGATTGTGAGGAAAATTAAAGCACTTTGTCTCTTGAGGATTTTTTGTCAGATCACGAGCTTTGAATATTTGAGGTAAAATTCTAAAATATTCTAATAAAAATGTTTAGACTCCGCTATTCTGAAACCACCATGCAGCTTGATATTGGAAACACTATATCCTATGTGAAGAAAGCTGTGGTACCTCTTTACAACATTCATTGAATAATATGCGTGTCCTATGCTCAATCAGTAGCGTAGAAGTTTACCGTTCTTTAATCTTGTTTATGCACGCCACTGGTTTCTATGTTATATTTCTGCTGGTATTACCCATGCTAGATTCTTCTGTTTGTCTAAAGTCTCAACTATAAGTTGTGGAACCAATTAATTTAAGTAAAACTCTCATTTTACTTCTTAAATTATCGGCTTTTTTTCCTCAAAATTCGTAAGCATTTCGGGCACGAACTATACAGACTGCTCTCAACACTGTTCGTACTACGCCAAGTATTGTCCAAAGTCAGATAGTCTTTTTATGCCGTTTGGATTCAACACGGACTTGTGTTGAGTCCAGAGGTGGTCATCTTCAACACATTCAGGTTGGATGTTACAGCATTTACTCAGCATTTTTTTTGTTTTGTTCCCATTGTTATGTGTTCATAAATTTAGAAATAACCACGTAAGTTGTATCAAATGTAATCTATATTTGAATATTTTAGGTTTACCTCAAATATTCAAACTTGAATATCTTTAAAACAAGTGATATTTTTTCTCCGAAAAGGTCAGTAGAAAATATTTTCTACTAGGGGTGCACCCCCTGGAGGAATTTCAGTTTTTACGTCCCTGGTTTAGTTTGGGTCGGGAAACTCGGTGTGTTTATTGCTTACGATGTGTTCACTGAACGTCTACAATTTTAACTGAGTAGATATATTTTTTCAATTTCGTAAATAAAACTGCAAACCTTGTATATCGGTAAGGGAGTATTTTTGGACCCATATTTATACGCAAGACGGGATCGAAATTTCAAGGGTCGAAATCCACTTAGAATCAGGTCCCAGTCCAAATCGGCTGTCTGTTGCATTCAATGATTTGATTTTGTCAGTTTGACATCAAGTGGCTAATTATTTTGAAGATATAAAATGAGTTGGAAACTTCATGCTTGTAATGAAACATCAATGGTTTGTTCGTTCAGCCTGTTGGCTGACAATCAGCAAACTGCTAGTCGTCGACAAATCATGACCATAGCCCTGTTCGTATAGCTGTCGCTAACCTGTCAGTGATTGTATCCAAGATCCGGCCACACAAATTCCGTTCATTCTGCAACGCTATATAGACAGAATTTATAAGTCCGGATCCCAGGCACTGCCACGGACAAGTCACCGACCACTGTATGAACAAACCGCAAGTTTATACAGTTAGCTGTCACTGACTGTATAGATTGCGTACATGAGAACGTTAATAGTTGACTGGGGGAGGTTGGACAGATTACCGACCACAGATCCACTGTTCGTACATAAACTTCTGACTGTTTAATGACTGTCAAATTAATCAGTAGATTATTGTCCAGTAAATTGTCAGAGCGCGAAATCAAGTGTAATCATTATTCGAATGTTCGAATGTAACATTTTTCAGCATGAGGTAGGCAATTTTGGAAAAGTTCGGGTATTTTCATTTTCTGTAAACCAGAATGATCTAGGATTTATCGTTCAATTGCCCGGAAGTGCCTGAATTTTCCTCTAGAGGGGATAACAAGGAACGCTCTAGAAAAAATAAAAGCACTAAACAATTTCAAGTAGATTTACTCCGTAATTCCCATTTAATTCTCATTTAAAAACTATGGACATAAATTCTAAGGAATGTAATTCCACACGTCGAGTGACAAGTTGAAGAAGGAAAAAGTAAGAATTCTGAATGAACGTCTGCCATAATTATGTATGAAAAATGCGCAAGGTATTTTAAATGTGTTTTTATAAAACTACGACAGTAGGGTTTTTGTTCTCTAACAGTTGTCACCCAGCCTTGAATTGTATGCACAAACAGTATGTATATTCTTGCTCCAGTCCAACCCAAAACTGATCGAAAAAACAACGAAATGACTACTTTTGAAGATTTTGTGATACAGCTATTTTCATGTGGGGTGGAGTGGCGGACTGCCAGGCTGCCAAACTTGAGCATTTTCGTATATTGTACAAAATCCAAATATATTTTCTTAAACTACAGCTGGGTTCGCCTATATAACAATGATGCTGTCTGGAGTAAAAACAATATTTTCCCTATATGTGCAGACTCTCACTGGAAGTAAAAATACTACAAGGATTTAATGTCTTTAAATAACAAAGGGAGAATGTACACTAAAAAGCTAAAATGGCTGATCATAACTACAATTACCAAGATCTGCTCACATAGCTATAAGTTTCACAGAGTTCCCAACAAGGACAAATAGAAATGAGACTACTAAAATACACGAACTCATCAAGAGAAAATCATGAGTCAAGTCGCGTTTTTACCCTTGAGTCATCTGAGATGACGAAGTTGATCATCATGGCAACTAGCAACACAAGTTCCTACCTGTAATCGCGTAATTCCGCATTTTGTAACTGTAACCAAAATTTTGGAAAGATTAGTGTTCACAAAAAAATAGTATTAATAATTATGGTTCTTGAAAGTTTCATCCTCTAATTTTCAGATTTTTAACACTGAATCTCGGGATTGCATTTCTGCCATTACAGGGCGAATAAACGAAATATTGAGCACAAATCACTTTGATAGCTTACCTGAGCGCTATCATCAGTATTCGCTGCCACATTACTTAGTTCTGATGGATGAATTTTGAGGTGCTTATTATCACACCAACCTGTATAAAGTAGCATTCTTTTCTATTAATTCATGATAATGGATCATCGTCTGGTTTTTCAATCTCTATATGGGTTCCATAAATGATGCCAACGATTCTAGGAAATCTATTTTTTATTCCATTCCATTCCATTGGCCATTTTATGAGTTTGGTGCCAGACTACTCAAAAAGTTGGTCAATCTGGATATAACTGCATGCAGGGTACTCACGGAAACATGGAACCTATCAGGTACATTCCTGAATATGGTTGTTTGATATCCAGCAAACCATAAAGATAGAGGTTTCTTTAAACGGAGTTAGCTTTCCATATGGCCCTGAATGATATTTAAAATGGTTACTATCACGGAATTTCAATGAATTTTTTTCTGCGACTGTCTTGCCCACTCAAAAATAATACAAAAGCTTGTTGCTGTTGAATTGTGGCACTGTTTCCTCCAGAAAATTCAGGTTTTTGGGTTTCATTCTCACTTCCAGTAGATCTTCAAATTCTTCATCTTCCGAAGAAAACGCGGACATTCCCGAGTATTCGGTGGTTGGTATATCGTTCAGTTTTTTTTTTACTCCGAAGCAGCCTAGAGAAGAAGCCTAAATGCCAGGGCAGCGAGGCTGACTAGCTGACCGCGAACAGTCAGAAACTGTACTAACAGGTAACATCTTGGTGACTAGTGAAAAAAATCTATACATACCTGGTTTGAGGACATTATTGCTAGCTCACTTCTCAAGCCAGGTATGTAATCTATAATTTATTTGATAGTCTCAAACCAAGTATGTAATTTATAATTATTTGCTAGGAATGCCACAAGTGTAATACACCATTTGAGCCATCTGCCAAGAAACACCATTGTCGTTCATGTGGAGAGGGATTTTGTGAAACATGCAGTAGCAAAAATCAACCAGTTCCAGAACGAGGTTGGTTCAGTGATGTTCGCGTCTGTGATGATTGCTATAAGGAAGAACCTCCTAGTATGAGTAATGCGGCTGACGGAGGAGAGAATGTTGTCAGGCAGTTGGGTGAGTGAACACATTTTATTCCACTGTGCGATTTTTATGACTTAACTGTTCAAAGGGACAATATACGAACAAAATTGAATCCATTGAAGGAAACAAAATTTTCACAAAATATCAAGCTGGATTTAGTTAAAAAAAATATCAATCCAAATGGTGTTGAAAGACTGGATAAGTATAGATGAGAGAGAATGTACTCGTACTGTAACAGTATTTTTAGACTTCAAAAGGGCATTTGAGACTATAGATAGGGAAAAATTGTTAATTGTTAATTGTTAAATTATATCACTATGGTTTTAAAGGATCATCAGTATTCAACATTTTACAAAATTATTTAGTAGATTGAAGTCAAAAAACTAGAATGAAAATATTGAAGTAGTCGAATCATTCAAACATCTGGGTACATATGTGGATAGTAAACTACTGTTTCAAGAGGATTATGAATACTTCATTTCATAAATATCAAAAAAGAATTTACTTCTATAGAGTTTCCTATAATTTCGGTAAGTAATCCAAAAAAGGTGTGTTATGTTTTTTCGAACAACTCACTGTAGAGCAAATTGTCAAAATTCAATTTGTTTTAATGGTACAACAATTACAGTGTTAGTTTTGAATTAGATAGTTACATCAGCAGGGACAACCATATAAGTTATTCAAGAAATAAGCTCAATAAAGTATGTTATTCTATAAGAATTATTGCTAAATATTTGGATAGAAAAACTTTGAAAGTTGTGTATCACTCCAAATTTGAATCTAGATTAAGATGTGGATTATAATATTTTGGGTTTGAAGTTGAATTAATCATATAGAAGCAAATTCAAGCAATTAGGTATTTTAACAGTTTTTGGAGTATTTATTCAAACGTTCCTCATATACGTATTTCAAAATTACAGTTAATGAGCCTTCAAGTAACCGTACTAGAGTTTATAACTATATTTTTCCTAAGCAATGATTTACGTTGCATTTAAAAAAATATTATATATACGTAAAATATTACTAAATCTACAACCATATACAATCGATTACTTTTTCAAGACAGATTTAAATAATATGCTATAGAGCAAGGCTTTATTGTTACTTTTGTTTGGTTAACATTATTTGTATCACAAGCTTTTGTATAGCATTGGTATTTGCAAGTAAAGATTACTGTTATCAAAACTGTTAAGATGTTTCGAAGCATTTGTGAACTGAGTATGAGTCTCAGGATATAAAAGTTTTCCTACTATGTAGCAGTAGCATCTGTCTACCGTTTCAGTGATTCATTGGTTATCATGACAGTCATTATACAACTTACCTCTCTACAGGTGAAACCGTAGTGAACTCCTTTAGCGCAGTAAAAACCGTCCTGCACTACCCTAAAGAGTTCATCAAAGAGCAAGCGCGACCAGCTTATTGGACCCCCGACGCCGAATGCATCCGTTGCTGCGCATGCGAAGAGGAGTTTAGCCTAACGAAGCCCCTTCATCACTGCAGGGACTGTGGCCGAGGGGTGTGCGCTGAGTGCTCCCAGTCGAGGAAGCCGGTACCGCTCAGAGGATGGCACACGCCTGTGCGGGTATGCGACAAGTGCTGTCGATGAGGTCAGCATGCAATGAATGTAAGTATAATTGAACTATTTGTAGTCCCAACTGATTAAATGAAGTGAGATTTCACGCAGTCCGGCAACCAAGAGGAGCCTGGCCTTTTTGTACGTCAGTATTTTCTAAGCTTTAAGCCAAATTCAAAATGTTGGACCGCAGTATAATTTGCCTGTAGGACTCCTCCTCTACCCCGCAGCGCAAATGGAATTCTCGGACGCCCATATCATATGCAGATGGCGTCACATCATGTTATGCTCAGGCAACAGTCCCGCCAGCAACCCCAGGTTGTATCTGTCTAGAATTACGCGAAAAAGTCCATCCCGAGCACTAGGTCCCAGAATAAGCTCTGGAGGCTGACGGAGGTGACGAAACATAGTACCCCATCTCTTGATATCCACCCCTCCTTTATCCTCCATATAGCCAACGTATCCCAGTACCCACACTAGCGATCCCAGGTGATTGTAATACAAGTTATCGATGTAACTTTGCAAATAATTGATCTGGATGTCGGAGCAGATTGTTACTCCTTTCTAGGCCCACCCCACCCCCAGAAAACTAGAAAGAATCGCATAAATTTCCGCCGAGAGGCAGTGGGAGTCTAGCTCTAGACTCCAAGACCCCGGCGTAGAGACGCCCACTTACCAGACTTGCCCAGCTTCTCCAGATACCAGTCGACCCCTGGAATCCTAAGCCAATCCCGTATTTTTGGAGCCCATACACAGGCGATGTTTACTGACATTCTATCATGTCATTCTTTCCTACCACGCAATCTAGTTTTTCTATCACGAATAAACGGCAATCTTTTAGTAATGATTGTTAACTCAACGCGCATAAGTTCGCATTGAAGTAACAAATTTTCCAACAGTCTATTCGGGAAGAAAATACTGCAGAGATTACCTTTTTTCCAGAACAGAGTACGAGAAAAAACGACAGTTAAATTTTCCATTCATTCATTTATTGATGGCAATTTACAAAAAAGTATTGGGTGGGGGTGCCAATTAAAGATAGGCAAAGTGAGAGATGATTTAATCGACTCAGAGATTGATTTGAATTGATATGGAACTTCCGCAGGTCGATACCGGTATATCAAATGCCGCGTATCGGTATTATTGGTATATCGGCCGACCGTTTCTTTCCATTTATGATCGACAGTGGTATCACGTATCTAGAAAAGTGACAGTGTCTGTTCTTTGACATTACATAGGCTTTTTATGACATTATGTAGGTTTCCCTTTAAGATGTCACTTGATGTGCACTAGTTCTGTAGCTGTAGGTGTTGCATAAACGTCATGACGCTTCAGCTAACAGGGTTTGGCTCTGATGTGATGTAACAACTGCCTCAGAGATAGCAATATTGGAGGCCTAAGCTGTAAGCTGTATACTATAGCTTTAAGGAAACAGCAGTGCCTAGTGAGGATGTGTGTGCTAATAATCTGTGTTGATAATAATTCGATTGGTTTCTTGTCTCAGATACACTTACTTGAGATGTATGGAAAGCTAGAAATTAGTTGCGTGCCCACTTTTACTTATTCATCCTGGAAATTACATATTTAGTTTTGCTAAATTTATGAAACGTGAAAAAGTTATAACATTTTACATTATTTTTTATTTAAAATCATTTAAATTTTAAAGAAATTTATTTTTCGATGTCAAGTAGAAAATACAAAGCGCCTAGATGTGAAGCACTGCGAACATTTTTTGTGTGTGAAGCGTCATTCCTAATTTTTCTGTGATGTGGCTTAATTACAAGCAATGCGGGTGCGGTGAAACTCTAAAAACCTGGTAAAATCGTAATTTATAACTTTAAACATTACCTCCCTTCAGAAAGGACAACATAAAAACCCGTCTGGCACAGCTAATAGATATACTTCATGGGAAGCATATTCATTCATAATTTTCTCACATAGCAAATATCACTGATTTTATACACATGCAGACCAACCAATACAAAGGGTACTATAAAAATTTTGCAATATGACTTAACAAACGGACGCAGGATGCTGCATGTTTGAGACATGTCCTTGAGTGCATAGTAGCCGCTAGCAGCACGTCTGTTGATTCAGTTGTTCATTCGTATTGACAGTGTAAAGTGCGGAATGTGGCATCATGGTCACGTAGTGAGTTTTACGGTATAACTTTACGCGTGGTTTAAGCATAGACCAGTACTTAGAAGAAATGACGCTTGCATTAAAGAATGATTGTCCTCATGGTACGACTACATTCAGGTGGTACAAAGGATTCCAAAGGGGCAATTTTACTCTGGAGGACGCTGAGAGGGAAGGAATGCCGCGACCGTCAGTAACAGAGGAAAATATTATTGCTGTGAGGAAAATGCTTGACGAAGACTAGAGAGTGACATACCAACAGATAGATGAGACCTTACACCTTTATGCACCAGCAATTGATTCAATTCTGCGTGACCATTTACACGTAAGGAAACTTTGTTCTCTCTGGGTACCGCATAGTCTGACCGAAGAGCAGAAGACTCGTCGAACGACTTGGTGCCGAAAGATGATGAAAATGTATGATAAGGGACAATCTCGTTATGTGAACAGCATCGTGACAGGTGACGAGACTTCGCTCTATTATTACGATGTGCCGACCAAAGCTCAAAACAAAATTTTGTGTCTTTGATGATGAGGGCACACCCGTAGCTGTCGGAAAATTCTGATCTGTTAAAAAAAAATGATAGCTGTATTTTTCAAATCGAGCGGGATTGTTTAGCGTATCGTTTTAGACACACAGAAGACAGCCATAGCTAAGTGGTACACGGAACAGAGCCTGCCTAAAGTTATAGAGTCTATGAAAAACCTACATCCAAAGTCAAGGATGGACATTTGCTACCTCCACCATCACAAAGCTCCAGCTCACCGCGCCAAAGCCTGCACCGAGTATTTGACCACTTCTGGACTGAAACTTATTGAGCACCCTTTTCACAGTCATCTTGCTCCCTGCGACTTTGCACTGTTTCCGTATGTGAAAATGAAGCTAAAAGAAAAACGGTTTTCTAGCGATGGCCCATTTCCTCATTTTAGGACTGGTTTTGACGGATGGAGAAGTGTATTGAATGTGGTGGAAATTACTTTGAACGAAGTCAATAAATAAAGCTGTATCGCAAAACTTTTATAGTACCCTTTGTACATACAGCCAATTTTATTTCTGTCCTCCGTATTATGCAACCAATAAAGCATACTGGGGAAATGAGTTGCAGCTGGTCATTGAGCGTATCGTTGAGTCATTCCTACACCGATGACGCTTTTGGTAACGCTTACAGCTCTCAATTGTTGACATTTTTTCGTTTTTTTTTTGACACTATAATGTAGGTTTGTTACGCAGTATCCTGCGGGTATAGTTTTCTCCTCAAACCTTGGGCGAATGCGTTAGCCGTAACGGATCTATAAAAAGGTAGTGATAAGAGGAACCCCAGAGGTATAGAGCTCAATCCAAATCACATCTATGTATGTTGTCGGATTTTTTTTTTAGCTTAGTTTTCAGTAGGCCATACCCGCCTGTTTGCGTTCCGTTTGTCTGCCTCCACACGATTAGATCATTACTATTCTGACTTTTGCTAAAAAGCATGAAACAACGTTGTATGTGGGAGGTCATGGTTACAGAGATGGAAAGCAAAGAGATTTAGTCCAGTCAATTAAAAATATCGCAAAATTACCCCCATCTCGCTCTAGTACTAGTTCATTGAGGCAAGTTGTCTCTTTCCACCACCTACCTGTCCGGCAGTTTTGTTTACCAAAGAAGTATTTTTCAAACGTTCTTGCTGTTTTTAAGATTGCTTTGTCAGTTAGCAACAATTCCCATTGAAATGTCAGTTATCAAATTTTAGGTTCTGTTCTATTTGAACCAACATTAAGATAGTAATGCTACGTCTATGAAATGTCTATAAATAGCTAAAAAAGTGAAGACATTCTCAAGATACTTATGATCGAGAAAAACGTTTATTTTTTTATTTTTGAAGTGTTCATAGTTGATGGACTTTTCACTTTGTTGTGTGCAATATTTTTTTTTATCTTAAAATGCACTAATTACCTGATTTAATTGTGCTTATGTTAGTTAAGCCTCATCTTTTAGCGTAAATAGAAAAAAAGCAGGCATTTATCTCGCTTATTTACGGTTACTTCCAAAGTAAGCTTATAACTCGAGAATTCCTGAAAAATCAATCAATGATGAGTGAAATATGTCTAAAAGGTGCGTATAATTAACGCGACTGGAGGTGTATACGTATACCACTGTCAAAAAATTGATATATACCCTCCCCCACCCGCCAATTTTTCACACCTTAAAGTTTTTCCAAAAATGATTAGAATCCCCTAAACGTCAGAAAATGAAGTTTGAGCGATTGTTATTTGTTTACTTTTTTGTCCCTGGCTCCATCGCCACTGGATATATTTTCAAAAACTATAGAACCTTTTCGTCTTTGGCATAGTAGTAACTTGTGAAAATTTCACCAAAATCGACCGGTATCTTCAAAGTTATAGGGGGGTCAAGGATTAGCGGACAGACGGAAATGAGTGACATGATTTTTTGTGATGTACATTGTTGATCGAAAGCTTTCGTGAAGAAAGAACAACGACAAGAATCACACCTTATGACTGGATAAGTTTCCAATAGGTCCTACTCGTAGAACATTGTAGCATTATTTTTTTGTTTTATATGCCTCTTCTCTGGGACGCCCTGAATAAAAGTTATACCGGTAGTTACTTGAGTTCCATCGGCCGGCTTTGTTGATTAAACCCGTTACTTTACCCTACATAATATATATTCTCTTATTTCCAGTTTCCAATCGACTAGCATGACTAATCAAGGAAGCGGCCATTTCCAAAGGAATATGGTATTTATCGACGGTTATTACACATACGACTGCGTAGTTGTTTCTTACCAGGATTGTATTTAAAAATTTGTAGTACGATTTAATATTAATTTTTTCTATTGTTTATATTTATTGGAGTCTCAATATATTTGCAGAAACGTGATAATATAGGGAAATGCAAATAATATCCTGTTAGTGTCTTCATTTACCCAGCACTTGTTTTCTGTTGTGTATATTATATTTTATTGAAATTAAATAATACGACTGCATTGGGATGTAGGTATGAATTTGTAATATGCAATTAAAGACAGAAATTAATTGGATAGGAGATGTTTATTTCAATCTTACTCTATTCCTACCCTCGTATCATGCACGTCACTCCAAATACCCCAGACAAATTAACTTTGCTTCGGCCGGAGTAGCGGAACTTTTTCAGTAAAATTAACTCTGCAAGTTGATTTGACAAACAGCACAAAAGGGCGTAATCGATGCCGCCGGTCGGATTATAACGGAGACAATCTAGAGAAAATAACTTGACAATAGTCGATTAGATTAACGGAAATAGTTCGTCAAAATTAACTTTCCAAGTGTATTTGGCGAACAGCTCGAGAGAAAGTACTCGTATGGCGGATTAAGAAAAAGTCCAGTAAATTTTTTTTGCAATATCTCGAAAAATGGGAAATCCGTTTTAACCAATGTTTGTATAAAAATACTCGAAAGAGTTTTTTTTAGAAGTCTAAGGTTTAGAAATGTGTATCACTTAATGATATCGATTTATATAAAATCTTTAAAGGTTGTAAAATATGAAGATATTACCTCTGTACACTACAAAAAAAGTCTCGTTTTCCTAAAACAGCTTAGTTTATGTAGAGCTGCGAGAAAAAACTGATCTTCTACCCCGCCGAACTTGGAAGATGCAGCAATTTAAATATGCCTTGAGAGCATTCTCCAGATGAACAGGGAATACATATGTCCTACTTAAACTCACCATACTGTTCGCATTAAAGGTAAACGATCGGGGTGAGATTCTTAAAGAAAAAGAAATATTAAGCTCATTTCCACAGCCCACTCAGAGCTAGAAGAGGCTGGGGAAGGGCAGGGTTACGTTTTGAAATGCCGAATTATGCAGGTGCAGCTTTTCATAAGTATGTATAAAAACAAATACTTAGAAAAAACTTCGTTTGTTCAGCTGTCTTCTGTTTTTATGAAGTTTACTGTTTGATCTTTCTTTTAACTGAGTCAGATAACAATAATCGAAAACACATGACAATATAATTTTGATTTTTTTATTCCAAAGCAGCCGCGCAGACAAGCCTAAATGCCAGTTTACCGCGGCTGCTATGAGGGAGACGTGGAAGGGAAGCTTGCTCGCGACCCGGGCCTGGCGCCGTGCGAGCTGTGAGTGTGCGCATGGTATGGCCCGGCACTCTGAAAACCACCCTTAGTAATACAACATTTAGTTATTGCACTCTCTGAGTAACTCTTGAGTTACGTTTAGTATATTTAAACGTATTTTTCCGATCAGAGCAATATCGGTTTATTCATTTCAATATGACACCTATTACAATACGGAAACAACACCTATGAGCGTGCGCGAAATTTATTCAAAGTAATGGCAATCATATTTTTAAATATTTCAGTTTGCATATAACATATTATGTACGTTTCTTGGTGAAAAGAAAGAGCACAGGAAAATCTTTATGATATTTGAAATCGGAACTGCCTTAAGCGTCCAGTCACAGTTACACTCCATTTCGGCTCTTTAAATTGTATTGAAAAATAAATGTTATTAGTTTCAACTAGTATGTGTTAAAATCACAAACATTTGTGTGTTAATTTTAATACAAATTATTCATAGGTTGGCAGTGCTTGTGATACATACCAACTGTCAATAGTAGAGGAAAACGAATACTACAGATGGGGCTGGGAGGACGCGTTCGCAAATATTCACAAGTGTTTAGGGTGATTCAGTGCCACAAAGTATATGTTAATCAATGCATAAACACAGTATTCACACCGAAACTATCTTAATTTGTAACAAGCATGAAAAAATCTGTGGTTGTTGTATGTAGGTAAAGTTCGTTCTCAAGATATACGAAAAATGACACCTTGCTCTTGGGTGGGTGTTTAGTTTTAAGGTTTTTTTTATTATACCTATATAAAAGTGTCACCGTTTTTGAGATATTGAATTTTTTCTTAAATTTAAAAAACGAACCTTTTCATCTGTAGTCTTTAGCTTTATGTACAGATAAGGTTATACTTTGCTTATTTTTTCTATAAAATACTTCTAGACAGTTGCTGTATTATATACAAATGCAATGTAGTTAAAAGTTATTGAGGAACCATGATCAAATAAGGACTATTTTGGGATTTATAACCTTCTGATATTTTTTACTCAACTTTGACCATCTGTGGTGAAACAAAAATGTACTGAGCTATAACTGCATTATATTGAATAAAAAGATTGCTCATTGAATACAGATTTCAGAAATGCACCACAAGTACTATTTGTAATAGAAAAAAGTGATAGCTGCTTTTGTAAGTGACTGACAATACTACAATGTAATTATTGGATTTAACTGAAGTTGAACTGGTTACCGATCAGTGACATGCTAAATAGTACAAAGCTACATTATTATTACTTGCTCCTGATATGATTTTATGAAAGTTGAGGAAACAATATCAGAAGGTTATAAATCCCAAAACAGTCCTTATTTTATCATGGTTCCATAATATCTTTTAACTACATTGCATTTGTATATGAAAAAGCAACTATCTAGAAGTATTTTATAGAAAAAATGAACAAAGTATAACCTTATTTGTACATGCAGCCAAAGACCACAGATGAAAAGGTTCGTTTTTTTAAATTTAAGAAAAAATTCAATATCTCAAAAACGGTGTCACTTTTATATAGGTACGTTTTTGTTCTCCTTAAGTTTGTCGTGGTACTTATTGGACACCCTGTATAACATGGTAAGTACAGCCATCTAGCGGATGCGTTAAGTTTGGTTGTCATTTTGGGAGTTGTATATTTAAGTTTACTTGCCAGGAATATTAATAGTTTTTAACATGCCTAAATTTTTGTATCAGTAGCAGCCGTCACATTTGTACATTATACTATTTGTCAGTAGAAGGGAATCTTATATAGTAACATGGAACATGCATCTGAGCTGACCAAGGACAATGCTAGTAGTATGATCCCGGTTACCATGGGATTCACTATTACCTGGTAAATTTGCTTGGATTATGTTGTTCTCCATTGCATCCTTAAGAAATATTAGATTTTGCAAAGATTTCCAATCAGGACCAAAATGCTTGGTTAACAAGCTGTCAATGGATTGTTTCTTGTCGTTATTAACAGTAAGCCCAGAGACTAGATTGTTTGGTGCGATAGACAATATTTTTTACCTTTTTTGCAGACACTTCTAAGCCGTTTCTAAACTTGAAATGGCACGAAACCCTGTGAATAGAAACACATGGTCACGAGACCAAAATACGACTCTCCTATTGGTGACACGCCACACGCATTTGGCGGTTTTTGCACACAAAAAATTTGCAATTGGCGATGTACTGAAAGTGAACTGAGTCTCTGATGCTCGATAGTAATGTGAATGTCGGGTTTTGAGAAATAATATCTTGACAGAATTCAGTTATAAACTTTTCCTGTCGAATGACAGTGCTATCTCAATTTTTATTATTTTTGCATTTGGGGTTTGGAGTTAGACGGCTCATATAAACTATACGGCACGGGTGTTACGGATCTTGAAAATTGACATTATGTCGATTTTTTTTGACATATTGTTTTTTTTGTGACATTATGTAGGTTTTTCTACAACTTAGCACCAGCTGATGGATGCTTGTGTACTCGTTTTGTAGTTATACGTGTTGCCTAAACGTCAGATGCTTCAGTTATCAATGTTAGGCTCTGATGTTATGTAAAATCTGCTTAAGAGATGGCATTATTGGAGGTCTAAGCTGTAAGTATACTATAGCTAGAAGGACACGGCAGTGCATAGGTGCATAGAGAGGTTTTGTATGCTAATAATATGTATTGATGATAATTCCTTTGGTTTCTTGTCTCAAATACACTTACTTGAGATTCAAAGCTGGAAAGAAATTAGTTGCGTAACCACTTTTTCTCATTCATTCTGGTAATTAAATATTCAAATTTGCTGAATTTCAAACATGAGAGAGATAAGAAAAGAAAATCGCTGGTTGGTGAGAAAATATGATACAGACAGGAATGTTTATGAAAGTGAAAACGTTATTCACTATTTTTTTATTTAAAGTCATTTAAATTTTAAAGAAATTTATTTTTCGATGTCAATAGAAAATACAAATCAGCACCTAGATGTGAGGCATTGCGAAAATGTTTGATGTGTGTGATGCGTCATTCCTAATTTATCTGTGATGTGGCTTAATTGCACACAACGCGGGATTTCTCGTAGTTTTTTAAAACACAAAAAACAGGAAAATCGTAATTTATAACTTTGAATATAACGTGTCTTCTCGATAGGTAAGAAATGCAAAAAATGCAATTTTGACGTTCAAGTGGTGAAATCAACCTCTTCGCTGGGTCCGAAGAAGATGGGTTCTACGGACCTTATATATCTACTAATGAAAGGAGCACTTTTGATTCATTTTTAGCCAGTCAAGCCAAACATTGATGTCTGGGGTGCAGCTGCACCCCGCTCGGGTTCATGAAGGTTGAATATATTTTCGAGGTTCCCTCAGGTGCGAGGCCGTTGGGGATGGCCGACGCAAGACGTTGCTACTGTGTATTAAAGCAGAGCTTGTTTTCCATACCTCCTTGCATGTCTGTTATACTGATAGCAAACCTTTATCAGGCCAATTCACTTTTAAAGAAACCCTTTCCAATATGCGACGTTCGGCAATCCGAATCAGGATCGTAGAAATGTTGAAAATTAATTTTTAATTTATAGCAGAGCTCTATCCTTCCCGGCTTCCTGTTATGCTAATAGCAAATGATATGACGCACTAAAATAAACGGTAGATACATACTCGGTTGCTTTAATTCGCCGGACGAAATCTACTATTCTCGTTAAAGTGGTCGTCTAATAAATCTGCAAGGTTAATCTCATTGGACTATTTCCATTAATCCGCGGACCCACAACTGATCTCTTTCGAGCTATTTGCTAACTAAATTACAAAGTTACTTCCACTGGAATGTTTCCGTTATTCCGACCGACTACATTACAAACTGTATATTATACACTATAATTTTTATATAAAACTTTTCCTAAACGGCTATATAAAATAGAGGGGGATCAATCTATAGCAGGATACCCTGTAATTTGTAATAATGAAAGTCTTGGAAAATAAGTACGTATATTAAAAATTGATAATAAATATATAACAATACAATCGTCGATCTTGAAGATATTCTAAAATACAATCAAAAATTGAAAAAGTGGGTACCAACAGAAAATAAGCAAACTGTAAAAAATTACCGCTTCGCAAATTGAAAACACTCGATTCATATTCCCATTCTAGACCTATACACGGTGTCCCATATTAATTTCCTCGCCCAAATATTCCGGAAAGTGCGCATCAAGATCAATTCAAAGAAAACCTCTGATTTTAATACTGGAAATGGAAAAAGCAGGAAATTTTACGTCCGAATGTAAGCTTGACCCAAGACTCAAAAGGTTGAGTCAAGCTTAAATGTTATTTAACGTCAAGATTATACTTTGATTAAAATGCTCTTTTTCCATCTCTAGTATGAAAATGAGAGGTTTCCTTTGGAAATCTTTACTTGATCTTGAACTCCATGGTCTCGAAGTCCCCTTTGGGTGATCCCTACAACCCCCACAACTGCATTTTTGATGCAAATTGTTTCCAATGTCTTCATTTCACCTTAAAATGGCCTTGAAGGCGATGGACAATGACATGTTTGGACGTAAAATTTGCTCCTCTTTTTAATTCCGATGTGAAAAATGCAGGATGCCATTTCAAAATACTCTTGACCTTGAAATGACCTTAAAGGTCATTGTCAGGGTCATCATTTTGCTCCCTCAAAATCCTACAACTTTCGTTTAAAGCTTATTTTCTGGACTGCGCAGTTTTGGAAAAATTTAGCTGGCGAGATTAAAATAAGACACCTTGTGTATATATATTTTTCGAAATACAGTTCGAAAATCGCATCACAAAGATGCACGCTCAGGCGTAGCGACCCACGGCGACATTTGAAATTTGCATGCGTCAAACGCAACAAGTACGCTTTCTCAGCTGTAGTGTCTTGTCTCTTTTGATTATGTATTAAAGAACCTAGCAGCGAAGTTTTTTCTTCCCTTCGCTTCCTGTCAATGGGCGTACACCTTTAAGATTGATATGCCAACTAATCTATCGTGATGTCATCATTCAATGAAAGTTAATACTGCTAAAATAAATACCTACAAACTAATGGCAAACAATTTTAATGATCGATGTTTAGGAATAATCAAGCAAAATATATTCATATACAAAATAAATAGCAGAACCACATCATAATTCGAATAAAAACTGATAAATGAAAATTAGTAACACAGGAGGTTTAAAGGTGATATTCACTACCAGTGTCGAAAAAGGCGGGAGGGCTGCACTTACAAATATCAGAACTATGAAATCGAATATTCAAAACTCTTAATTTTTCAACACATTCAGTAGTCATAAAGCACTTCGCCACTTTTAGTTACGACACTGGGCTTATAAATATGTATATCAAATCAATAATGAGCTGCCACAAAGTATCAGTTCTCCTTTTGAGTTACTCATTGTCAATCAATTTAATCAGATATGGTTGTATAAAATTAAGTATTACCTAATTTTTGCTTGATTTACGTTAAGTACCAAAAGCAATAAATTAGCTAAAACCTACCTACGTTTGATTAATTTCTAAAATTAGGAATTTTTGAGTCATCATATACATATAAAAACAAGATGTACATAAAAAACTTTAAAATTCGAGACATACCAATTATCAGACTTTTCAGCTTAAGGATAGGATCACTGGCAGTTAAATTTATAACCTAACATCACATTTTTATAGTACAGATTGTTAAGAAAATATCACAATTTTGTCGATAAAAAAATTATCAGTATTGCTGAGTACTGTAGATTGCCAAAAGCATCTTTATTTAATAATGCAGTATTGTCATTTGTTGAAAATAAAACAATCAAGGAGCATCTAAAGTGTGATTCGATTCCTGCTTTGGAGAAGTAAAAGAGTAGAATCTAATGCTGTGAGAAAGTCTCGTAAAGTTATAGAACTTGCCTGCTCAAAAATGTGTATGATAAAAAAAGGTTTACAGCTTTCAGGATTCAATTTATTTTTATTTTAAAGAGACTGCGGAAATGCGTCCCTCAAAATGCGATATATATATATATATATATATACTCTTATGAGCCTAGTTTAATGTTCTTGACTTTAATAATTATTTGCGTGGCTGTTATCTTCTAAGTAGAACACTGTAGATCAGCCGTTGTTATCAATCACAAAATTCTTACTCTGTACCAGCAATTGCAGTATGTCTCTGAAGTTCGCTTCAGCTGGAACGAACTTTGCTGTTGACAACGGATGGGTTGCAAATTTTTCGTGATAAGGATGCGGTTTCGTGAAAAGCAGGCATAGTACCGAACCTCTTGCCACCAAAATGGAATCTTAAAGTGTATGCACATTGAAGAGAAGGAAAGCGATTCGTGTAGAGCCAAAATGTCACTAGACAATGCTTGACATAGGGCTGTCTCAATCTCAATCAACAATGAAGTCTCGTCAATGCGCTTGCATCCTTCTGCTTTTCCCGAAACTCGACCACATCCAAACTTTTAGAACGCCCTGTTTACCTCGGCCTCAACAATCTGTACTACACGCTTTCAACACTGCCGTCTGCTTCGTTACTTGTCCCTTTATTGCTTCTGTCTTTATGCATGCTTCTGACCGTGGCGCTATTTGCTTTGAAAGAAGTCGAGTCCGGTCCCGTAGCTGAAGAGCCAGAGGCGGACTCGCCCGCCGTGGCCTGTCGGTTGTTGTTTTGATGGTGGTGGCTGGCAGAGCCACTGCTGGATAAGCGAGACATTTCGATCACGTTCTGAGTCTGGAAAACAACCGAGCTAGATAAGTCTGGAAGCAGAAAAGTAGAAAGTCACCTGGGTTAGGCAAAAAAGCGGAAAAATAGTGGTGTTCATATTAGTTGATGGTTAGTGGAGCTGGAAAAATATCATGCAAGTCATAGAACATCGAGATTAAACATAGAAAACGAACAAAATAAATCCGTAATCATCTTTTGAAGCGCTTAAATAGTACATTACCTAGATAGGTTGAGAAGTGGGTTATTATTGATCCACAGCTTGTATCCTCAGTTTTGAACCGACGAAGGATATAATGAGCGAGATGAATAAATGCCTTCTCAAGCGAGATATGAATATAATTTTTTACAGATTTAGATTTAGATGCATTCATTTATTAGCGGCCTTCAGTATTATGACAATATAATCTCACTACTCCTACTCATTTCACATATATACTCGAAATGCCAAGTTACATGCTATCAGACTGTCAAGCTTAAATAATCAGATTTTGGAGGTTTGGATTAGTCCATCCACCATTTTCAAAGAGAACAATGTGAACATTTTTGACAGAGTTTTTCTTCTGATGGCTTTAAAAGCAGTTTTCCAATATTATCCCGATTATGGATGTATTCAAGAAGGCAGTTACCTAAAAAGTTATATCAACAATTTCTCACTTGTATTAAGATATTTATGAATATAAAGTTTAATTGTGAAACTAACATTAAATTTAGTAGAATACAATTTTAAATGACATTCATTAGTTACCTTGATATTTTTTGATATCACTGCTTACCTTTCAAGAGAAAAGCTGTATTTCAAAATGTTATTGAGGTCAATAAAAGACAATATGCTATCAGGGCAGTTACATTTCCTCAAAATACCCTGGATATTTCACATTTCTAGACGTCAGATCCGAGTGCCACGTTGGATATTGATGCGAAAGTGGATACACACCAAATATCTTTTACAAGTTGTCGACAACACTCACATTAAGGTGCAGCACGAATGAATACTAAAAGTGTGAACTATAAAGCGTCCTATTTTATAACCTATCCAGGCAAGAATTATGGGTTTAAAGTCACCTTAGTTTTGCGTTAAAATCAACAACAGGTCATTTTTCCTTAAAAAAAACGCGCCCCCCGAACCAACAGCGATTAGCAAATGTATTAATTAAGCACACCAAAAGGCTATCTACGGATGTTTTATTAATTTCATTTGAATGATATTTGTTTCCGTGGGATCCTATAAGTAAAGGTATACGACAAATATCGCTGGTACCACAATAGACAATTATTAAGTCAAAATGCTACTCTGATGTTTTTAATACGTTGAAGATGTTAAAAAGAAACTATTTTTTAAACTGTTAGTTTGATTCGGATGGGACTCAGCTTTATAGCGTAGAAACAAAGATAAGAAGAAAATAATATGTACCTCACCTTGTTGTCTGCATCAGCCAGGGGGTTAGGAGTTATAGTAATTTTATTGGAGACTGTCCCATTACATCTGGTACTCGACTTATCCACACCATACTCACTACCATGGTGGTCATCCCCTGATTTCGGTCTGCTATCAACTGAAAAAAAATAACAAGGTAAGTTTACCTCCTCTCAAGAGAAGCAGAATAAAGAAATACAAATAAGCTAGTAAAAAAATTACAAGCTTGGACTTCAGATAGCTATATCATCGATTGTCCATCGATATCGGAGGCTTGAGTGTTTCTAAAACAATCAACCGTTACCTGACTTTTTCTGCTTCCATTTTCTGCACACGAAAACTAAGGCTACTCCGCATATTAGCAGCGCGAAACCAATGATTGTACCAGCTACTATCACATACAGGTTAAGTCCAGCCTTTTCTGTACTGGCGGCACTTGACACCACTGGAGACTGAGTCGTCTTTTGTGGAGATTTTGGCTTCGCTGAAATAAAATAAAAACGGTTAACCTCACAAACGTTACTTCATGTATCTTTCCACGTGGGCACTAAATCCCGTAGGAAATATTGCGTAGGATTAAGGCCGCGAGACAAGTGTTCGCTATGTGCGAAGTGGGAGGAGGGTCGTCAAAGATCGCAGTGCGTGATATGGCAGAAATGTGAAATAACTCGGGACTCGAGACCAGCCGCTTTTAATGAAGAAACGATTTTAAGCCTTATTTTTTGTTTGTTGATGAAATAAATGGGACTAAAAATGAGTGAGCTGTCAAACCGTCTTCAGGTGGACGATCTAGATCAGTGTGCTAGTGACAAACGGGAGGCGGTAAAGAGCCTAAAGGAGATTGGAAGGTGTTTAATTGACTTGGGGATAATTTTTGTCACCCGAACTGATGCAGACGACCCCCCTCTTTAGTTTTAAATTGCCGATACCACCTCTCTTCAATTGCCCATACGAGCACTAGTTGTCAGAAGCTCTGATGCAGGAGACGAGACGCCGCCCGTTCATTCCAACGTCTCTCACATGCTGTGCTAACACTAATTCTTCTTCCTTTTTGCATAATTTGAGATTGAAGTTTTATGGGTTCAAGTCACATTAACTTTTGATTCAGTGACGCAAATTACCTAGTTTAATATGAACCACAAACTTTTAAGGTACTTTCATTTAGTTTCATTCAATTTCAAGGAAAACCAAGCCAAACATTGTTATCAAAACATTTAATTGTCCTGAACTGATAGGTCCCGAGTCCCGAATAATTATGGCGATTAAACTGTCATCAACGCACACACTGAATAAATGAAAGTGTTTTACTTACGTTTTGTTCTGGCTTTCATGATAGGACTAAAATCGCTGGGAAACTTCGAGTTATAACTTTGCAACTTGATATCATAGATGGTGTCTGGCTGAAGGTAGTTCAAATAATATTCGAACTCGTCCTTATCAGCGCCCTCTATAGTTACTTTCATGTAATCTCCTGCGTGTGTAGCTGGCATGTAACTGATGTAGAAACCGTCTATACTGACGTTTTCTGCCTTATGTATCTAAAGAAAAAAACTCACCTCAGATTTCTTCGTAAAATGCATTTGATCGTAAGCTGTACGGGCGCAATAAATTGACCCCTTATAAATTTTTTGTATGACCGTTTAGAAAAAGAGGTTCTACATAAAAGTTATAGGATCTAATATAAAGGTTTAAACTTGCATTTTTTTAAATAGAACCACTGTATATTTTCATAGATTTTTTCATTCCAAATAATCAGGGTGTTCCATTTAAAAAAAATACTTTATCCGATAGCATTTTTTTGAGATACCACGTAGACTAAAAAAAAATATTGCTCGAAAATATATTAGACCCTATAACTTTTGCATAGAACTTATTTTTTCTAAATAGTCATATAAAAAATAGAGTGGTTAATTTATAGCGCGACACCACGTAAATTATGCTTCTGTTTCGCAAAACTGCAGAAGCAGGATATTGATATCATGTAAAAGTAAATCTTCGTAAGTATTAGATTGCCATTTTGTTGAATTGCGGATGCTAAAAAAATGAAAAGCTATTTTTGACTATAACATGATATTTGTAGGCTACATTTGAGCAATGATTTTCAAATCTTCTTTAAAAAAAGTTATGTCTATCTCTGTAGATTGTTAGTACATTGTGCTCACAAATTGCTAGAAAAAATTGCCCCTGAGCTTTCCAAAAGGTCAATAAGATAGCGTTTAATTCTTAAAAATTATTGGGTCAAACCAAAGTAGGTCAAACAACAACACCTTCATTAAATGAAAACTGTTTCAAATGAATGTACTATGTTTCCACAAGTCTTGCTTAGTTTGATCCTCATGGAAGGAAATGAGATTTGCATTTAGTTTCTAGCACCTGCTTATATCATCTTTGAGGTAAAAGTGACACTTGGCTGTTTCGCCGTATTTATGTTGAACTATATAAAATGGTTCAGTAGATCGAATTCTCTAAAGCCTGGCCACTGCCCGTGTTATACGTTTTAGATAATTAGTTCTTTAGTAGCCCCAGACGTAGAAAAAATATTATTATTAATATAACTTTATTTGGTATTCCTGTATTTTGTCGAAATTAATTTTTCGCATTTTGTAGCCGTGAAGAAGTCAAAAAAAAGTCAAAGCGTCGGCTTTATGAGTAAAGTCCATCATTGAACACATTGAGCAATATATCCCAAAATCCGAAGATTAAAACAAGTAATAGCTGTTATTTTATTTTGCATAGTATTTTCGCACCACTTTGTATGATCACATTCACTTAACTTGGATACAAATTATGAAAATCAATAGTAATCTCAACCATATCTCACATAGTTTTTTATTATTCAGATTGAAATGTCTAATTTCAGGTGATTGTCAAGACATTACAAAATCTGAAAAATTTCGAAAACTACTAGTATTCACTTATACATATACGGGGTATTTCAAATTCGACCCTCACCATTGGAATCTCTGAAACTGTAGGAGATACGAAGTCGCTTAAATGGAGGCGAAGTTGCGTCTCTAAGTCATAAAAAAATGCCGCTTAGAAAGTTTCGATATTCAAAAAACGAATTTTCCCAAAATCGTTTTAATTTTTCTCTGAATTTGTTACGGCAAATTACCAGTAACCCTTATATAGTTCTATAGTTAGTATAAATGGTTGGCTGCGCCACTGTACATATACCAGCTTTAGCTGAAGTTGAAGATTGTTAACAGAAAATTAGTTTGGCAAAGTAATTGCCTTCGTTATGGAATAATTATAATAATAGCGTTTATTTGCAGAGCAAAAAAATACAAAGAGAAAAAATTAAAAATGAAGAAACAGCATGAATTCCCTGCAAAAGGGACTAGTAAAAAGACGAGCTGATCAATGCCCAACAAGCAAAATTACAACAGAGGAGTTCTTAACCAAACTGTATAAGTTAATATTAATGATTAATAAATAATAATTGCAAACTTCAAAAAAATATGTATATAAAGAAATTATATAAAAAATATAATTTAACGAAAAAGGTCAAATCATTTTAGGCAGATTTAACAAAAAAACATTTAAAATATAAAAAGGAAAGGAACAATATAAAGTACACTCCAATTCATCTGATAGAAATTTTCTGTAACCTCTTTTAAAAGCTGACACAGATCAGCTTCCGATACCGGACATTGATATTGTGAACATCACTTCGAAATGTAATCTTATTATATAATATATATATATACATATATATATATATATAATTGTTATTGTAATACAATTCTAATACCTTCCAGTGTATTTTCACGCAAGTTGTGTTAACAGGCTCGGTATGTGTCACCAGTGGGATAGGCAGTGGATTTTTTAGATCAAAATCCAGTCTTTTCAAGTGGAACTTCTCCGAATTCGGACTAAGCTTGTGGTCGTTGTTTGTATACACTGCAGCTACCCTGAACCTAAAATTATAAGCTTATAAAAATATTTAGCGGTAACAGTGAACTTGAAGTATTATACATCATGTTACTAAAGCATCTGACAAGATATTAAAGGATACCTCCTCGAGTGATTTTAATACTGAGGTACGATCATTCAAAAACAAAAAATATATTGACATGGAGTATCTTGAAACATGTTTATATAAACCTTCCTCTTGACCCAGATTTGAACTAACATTTCAATTAAATTATACTATTTTAGTTTTCTACTGTAGCAAGAACTCGTAACCTACAGATTGTTGGTTGTCGATATTTTAAATTTTGAAAATGTAATATGTTTATTTTAACTATTGCGGAATTTTTACTTGTTTTGTCAATTACTTGAAACTTGGATATATTTTATGCATCTAAACTACTTCACTTACCTATAGACGTGATCGGGTCTCAACCCTGTGACATCAAAGTCCCTAATATTGGCAGGAATTTCAGCATTCATAGTCCGCCAATTACCGTTTTTGGATTTGTTGTGGGAGTTGTGAGATCCCAGCTCCCTGTATTGCACCTTGAAAAACTGCACCCCCATACCCGTGTTATGAGGGATACTCCACCTCACTACCACAGACTCGTCGTTAAGCCTGGAAAATAATCGTCTAAGATCACTGATATCATAGTTACTCTTAAGGGAATGTGTCGATACACAAATAAAGATTGTATTGCATTATTTCAACCACTTAAAAATTTCAGTAATGACCATAAAGATAATCTCATTATAAAATAACGCACTTCAGGGAATAGAATATTAGTACATAGGAGATACCTTGATGGAGTGATAGGCCATATCAAAGCCTTTGTGGGCCGACGTATGTATATGATTGTTTCACTACTAACTAATATAGCATATCTTAGTTAACGTTTGGCAACACTGTCAGATAAAGTGCCGATACAGTGTCTAAAGTACAGAACGGTGCATTGGAGATGAATGCTGCCGCTACATGATAGTGCCTATTCATTTCCCAGTTATTTACAAATACTACAATTTATCAAGTAGCATGACTTTCTAGCTGACAATCAATGGAATAAATGAATACAGTCAACATCAACAACTCGCGTATAAAACAGATTTTGCATTTACTCCTGATAAACAAAAAATATAAGTAATCATTAATAATGATAACATCTGAGTTAACATTGGTAAGGTTTTATATTATATCAAAACTTGGTAATTAACGCCAACATTATTGACCACTTTGGTCCGTTACTGGATATACAGTGCCACCATTAAAGTTTTGACGAACAAGGCCCTGTCATGAAAAGGCAAATAGGCAAGTAATCAACTTTTGAGCATGGAGGATTCGCAGTCAGTTTACAATTCAGTCTGTGACTCAAATGATAAACTTAAGGGTTTTATAATATTTCTGCTAATTACTACGAATCAGCATTTCCCTTGAGGATAAGGCATTCTCGTCGTAAAACTAGGAAGCTGTGTATTACCAAGGGTCTAATAGTTTCTGTGTGCAAACTAAATGAATTGTATTATTTAATTATAGATGTCTAATCAAAAAATATTATAATAAATATAAGGTAAATGATTTCAACAGCAACTTTATTATATATATCGATGATACGTCTCTTTTAGAAAATGGCCTGGAATTCAACAGAGAAAAGTTATTGTTTGTTTCTTTAATGTATACTTCAGAATCAGATCACAGCTTACTGATTAAATTGCATGCATGCAGGAACCATTAAGCAATGCCAGACAGTGAAGTTCTTTGGGATCTATTTTACAACTGTAGTTGGGATCATCACATAGATCACCTTCGTAAAAAAACACTGCCGTAGAATTCGGTTTTTAGTTGATAGACTCGTATTTTTGATGTATTACTTCGCCTACTTTCAGTCAGCTATACCTATGGTACGAGTATAATAGCTTGGGGGCATGTTATCTAGCAAACAGGGGGGGAGGGTTGTTATTCAAACGCGGGTTATAAGATTAATGGCGGGGGTAAACAGGATGGCCAGTTGTATGGAAATTTCAACATTAACATGCATCTATACTTATTAACTACTGATAGATGTAAAAACAAATTTTACAAGCATTCATAGCCTAACTGATAGGCACAACAATACTAGGAATGTTATAACACTGCAATTTCCTGCTCACAGGCTTGCTAAGACGGAAACAGATTCCAACTACATGGGCATAAAGCTCTACAATAAATTGTCTGTGTGAATTAAAAAATTGAACATCTACCTACATAAAAAAGAAATTACAAAAATACATCTCAGAAAAACTGCTTTGTGTCGTTTTAGTATAGCTCTATCTTCTTATATTCATTTTGTAACAAGAATGAATAGTACTGTTTACGCAATCTGCTGGGGATCGCGCCAGACTCTCCTTCGGTGGCGAAATTTGTTGGGGACCGCACCAGACTCTCCTTCAGTGGCGACATTTGTTGGAGACCATGCCAGGGACTTTTCTTCGAGATCGACGCGAAGTGACCTTAAAGACTCTGGAATGCCGCTATGTGGCTCACCGGAATCTTCTTGAATCAACGAGTCCCTGCGATGCGGACTATATAACTCGTAGGTCGGGAGAGGGAAGCAGAATAGAGTATAGTTCAGTTAATGGCGCGACATAATAAGTAGTCAGACATAAATAGTGGTGTACATAGATGTTCTATCTAGTCAAATTAAATAAATTAGTGCATTTCTTTTTGTGGAATTCAGTGTTTTAATCCACAATCAAAAGAACCCAGAAAAACGCTACAATTTTTTACATTGTGCGTTTTTATGAACTTGTTTGTTCCTCAAGTTTCTGCAATAGTTGTATTTTGTATGCAATATTTATATTGTAGTTATACATCAAATTGTATTTTGGGGGAAAATAAACGTATACTACTACTACTACATCGAATTTATGTGATTACATACGAGGGTGGTCCCAGAAGTACCCGGCTTGACCTAGAGATGGCGATAGTTGTTTGAAAAATATCATTGTATTAGAAAGTATGCAACCTATAAAGCATATGTGTCAAGTTTGAAGACGCCACGTTGTTTAGTATTTGTTTGGCAGCCATCACTACTGAACGTTTTCAGTGAATTTGTGAAAATGGTACAATACTTTTATTTCAAACGCCTCAGCCCAACCAATATAAAAGCTGAACTGGATTCTACTCTGGGCGAGTCTGCTCCTTCGTTTACAACAGTAAAATATTGGGTAGTAGAGTTTAAACGAGGCTGTATGAGCTGCCAAGACAAGCATCGCAGTGGTCGACCAAATGAGGTGACGACTCCAGAAGTGGTGAAGAAAATTCACAAAGCGGTAGTGAATGATCGTCGACTGAAAGTGCGCGAGCTAGCAGACTTAGTAGGAATTTCAAAAAGTGCGGTTCATCGCATATTATCTGAAAATTTGGACATGAGAAAGCTGTGTGCAAGATGGGTGCCGCGATTCCTCACAATCGAGCAAAAACAGTGTCGTGAAGATCTTTCAATTGAGTGTTTAGCGAAGTTTCACAGCAACAAAGCAGAATTTTTGAGTCGTTTCATAACCATGGATGAAACATAAGTCCATCACTTCACACCCGAGACAAAAGAACAATCAAAACAATGGTCAAAAGGGACAACCGGCTCCAAAGGAGGCGAAGACCGTTTCATCTGCAGGCAAGGTTATGGCGTCGGTTTTTTGGCATGCGCGTGGGATAATTTTCATTGACTATCTTGAAAAAGGTAAAACTATCAACGGCGAGTATTATGTGAACTTATTGCAACGTTTAAGCGATGAAATCAAGCAAAAACGGCCGCATTTGGTTAAGAAGAAGGTATTGTTTCATCAAGACAATGCACCAGCCCACAAATCCGTTATTGCAATGGCCAAAATTAACGAATTAAAGTTTGAATTGCTAACTCATGCACCCTATTCACCAGATTTAGCCCCCTCGGATTATTTTCTGTTTCAGAACTTGAAAAAATGGTTCAGTGGTCAAAGATTTTCCAACGATGAAAAAGTGATGTCGGCAGTTAATGGCTATTTTGAGGAGCAAGACAGTTCTTATTATAAAAAGGGTATCGAACTTCAGTGGGAAAAGTGTATAGAGCTCAAAGGAGGCTATGTTGAAAAATAAATACATTTTTTTACAAAAATTTGTTTTCTTCTTTGGGTCGGGTACTTCTTTGTTAGGATGCTGCTTATTGACACATCTTATGTCATCAAAAGATGATAACTTGAATAAATAGTATTATTATTATAAAAAAATATGAATGGTTTAATAACAATGACAATCAACAATGTCCCCAACAAGCCTAAAAGCTCTAGATGAATGCATGCATTCATTATTTTCCTATTTATTATAATTATTTGTCTAGGGGGAGAAATATAGCTTCTCTTTAGATGAGTATGGTAAGTAACAACGATTTCTCAGGAAAGTAGTAAAAAACTCACATTGATAGAAAAATGCATTCCCCTTAGTCCTTATATTCTTAAGAATCATTTTGCTCGTTACTATATTTTTATGTACGTACGCACAAAAAGCCACTGTTTATTTTTGGAAAAATAATAGCCCAGGACTATCAGTTACAATTATATTGATGAATTGTTAGATTTTTGCTCTGGAATATGGATGTAATATTCAAATGCTGCAAAAAATACTTGAACAAGTATTCTGTAAGACATGCTCAGCAATTTTTCATGAACACTGTGTGGAAAGCATGAGAGGAGAAAAAATATGTGTGTTAGATGGCCACGTGGTTCATTGTTCCAAACCAATTGTGTGTCTAGAATGACCATACATTGAACAGAAGAGAGAGTGACCAAACTGCTAGAAGTTCAGGAAATGAGACTACAAAGCGATTACTCATAATCCATCTTCAGTGGGTAGATATATCTGTATTAAAACCAACTCCGTAATGCATAAAAGGTTGCTGATCATGGGTGGCGAATTAGCAAGAGGCCGATCTTCGAATCTAAGCATAAAACTGGACTATGGGGATTATATAGTAGAAGGTGTTGTAAAACCAAATGTAGAAATCGCTGAATTGACAAAATACCTTTTTTCCATGGTCAAATGATTATGTGATTGTTATTTTCCATGCAAAAAACATAAGGCATCAATGTCCATGAACAATTTTCTTAGAAATGCGTTACCATTAGGAAACATTACAAACCTGCTTATTTTATATAATTCTGATTTCGACGATAGGGCGATTCTAGCATATATTCGTTGCTCAATACTTAGATACATACACAACGTATCTAACAGTTTCGTAGGGGATATGAACATCCAGTACTCAGCTCGCAAATGCATTGAGCAATTTGTAAAGATGGCCTACAATTTAAATCAGAAAACCGAAGAAAAATAACATCCTCTGTCTTCTTAATAAATGAAGTAGTACTGGAGGATTTTCAAAACGAAATAGCGCACCTACAACACACCTAGCATTGCCTAATACTTTTTATGACGAAAACCGTGACAATGACAATAAGGGTAGTTGTACTCGTCGCCATACTATTGTAATGATAAAATATGCGTTAACTGAATCAGGCATTAGAGATCATGGTATTCGTATTACATCATAATATCCAAAGAATGTACGATAAGATTGTCCAACTTGAATTGCTTTGTATGAATAACAGTTACGATGTTTTGTGCTT